ACTGTTTACATCGAGCCTACTTACCCCAACCCACCTTCAAACTTAAAAGTCCTTTGATGCCTGCACTGACAATATTATTGCAATTACCGGGTCAACGTTTGGTCTACGAGCCACTGTCGATGGAACGAGCAGACGACAACAAGCAGAAACGTTTGAAAGAGCAGACGGCAGTTCGAACGATCAGGCAGCCGTTTGAACTTGAAGACGCACTGAACGTAGTCCGCAGGTGGTCCGTACAACTTGTCTGTTTCCCCGCGTTCAAAACAAATAAATCTGACGACCATACTCATTTGTGAATTCAACCGAAAAAACTTCCCGCACAAGCAGTCCGGCGGCTTCTGGTTTTTATTTTTCACGGCACCTATCAACGTTCTCGGACGAACCGAGCAGGCAGAAAACACGCGGAAATTGACCCTCAAACCTTTCCCGACTCTTTGACGAGAAGTCAGGTTTTTGTCCGATTTCTTCCGCAACAACACAGGTATGCACGTCCTGCATGGTGACTTTCACCAACAGCCCCAGACCGGAAGTGCGCCCGACGCGCCACCAGCGCGCCGTGACGTAACAGAGCTGAGTTCGTGTACATGTGAATTCATTGTACCGTGTAATTTGTTTTTCTGTCTTTTTTTTTCGCAATTTTTCAAAACAGCTAGAATTTTGTGTTTTACAAAAAACTGTAATTTCTAAGAACAAAACCTGTGTTTTTTTCACAAAATTTCCGAACAGAAACCCGGGTTTTTTACAAAAAAAAGAAAAAAAGAAACTTTGTTATTTCTAATAACAGAAACTGTTCTACAAGGCTGGGCAACAGAAATTCAGTAGTTTTACAGACGGACAAGAACCGAAAAGATTATTATTTTTTTACTACAATTACAGCAACAGGGAAACAGACGAAAGCATAATCTGTGGCAAGAGCTGCCAAGCCTTTTCTATTTCTTGTATACGATTTTTTTTTTTTTGTTGCACTGCAACTTCTGGAGTACCAAAAAAAAAAAAAAAAAAAAAAACCCTCGAGCCTAAAATTAATTAAAAACGGAAGGTACGAAGATCCTATGTTTTACGCCGTATAACTTGCGTATAAACCGTATTCTAAATTGGAATGCTGAATTGATCGCAACTTTTTTCTGCTCACCATGTCCACAATATATACACAAATATATATATATATATATATATATATATATATATATATATATATATATATATATATATATATACACACACACACACACACGTTCGCAAGTACGGTCTTTGGGCGCCGCCATCTTGCTGCTGGGGCACCAGGATAATCCGAATACGACGCCTAGCTTGGTGCCCCAGCAGCAAGATGGCGGCCCCCAAAGACAGTACTTGCGAACGTGCATACGGGGTGTCCCAGCCTCCAGGTAACTTGCACCAAACTTAACACACACACACACACACACACAAAGGTGCGCTTTGCGCAATTTTTTAAAATCTGCCTAGTTATTTAGTTAATTAAGACTAAATAGCTAATTGTTTTAATTATTCGTTTAACAGCCAAGGTATGAATTGAAAGGTTGTAGGGCGCATTGAAAGAGAGCGCTCCTCCTGGCCCAATTTTTTGCCAGCTCTCTTTCCCTTTCCCTAAATTTTATATAAGAAATTTAATAATCACCCTCTCCCCATTACACTCTTAGATTCGCGTTTTCTAACTTCACTTTGGGGAATCTTTGCATCTTTGTGGCATTCTGATCACATGGTTTAAGAAATGGTACAGTTCTGTCACATGTACACGGCCCTTGCGAAAATATATTTTTCTTCTGTTATAGCGGATTGCGAAATCTACGGCGCAGCTTATTTCTTGCCAATATATATATTTTTTTTTCATTCGTAAGTTCAGTTTATATTGCTGTCATCAATAAACAACCTGCGCACCACGATGACAACACATGGCGGGGTTGCTCGAAGTAAACGATCCACTTTAATATATCTCAGAATAAAAAAATGAATAAAAATAAAAAAAAATCTCCGAGTCAAGTGAAACAACCGCATCTCCACGTGGTGAATGATGTTGATTCGGGCGAAGCTCTGGCTTGTCTGCGTAGACGCTGAGCCGCAGCATGCCGAGCCTTTCGTTCATTTTCATCCATGTCACGTTGCGGTCAAATGCTCAAATGCGTATATAACCACGTTCCATACCACACATTCTTTTTCTGACATGGATGAAAACGAACGAAAGGCTCGGCATGCTGCGGCTCACCATCTACGCAGACAGGCACCACCAGAGCTTCGCCCCAATCAACATCATTCACCACGTGGAGACGCGTTTTTTTTTTTTTTTTTTTTTTTGCCCTACACGAGCACGGGAACACGTGCTCACATGCTCGTGAGCACGTGAGCGCGTGAGCTCACGAGCAGGAGCACGTGCACTCGACGGCGGACGGACACATGGCTATCTCCTAAGGAGCTTCGCCCCTAAAAAGAAATATCAGCAACGGCGTTTGCTCACTTGAGGAATTCGCGAAACAGTGATGTAATAGGATGCCCCTAAGGCGGCGCGCACCTCACGATTAAGTTAAAGCCCCTTCATGTTTCAAAAGTAGCGCAAGGTGCGTTGATGCACAAGGCACGTGCAACGTGCAGCCCTTGGGAAGATCATGGCGGCATAGCGCAGCACTGAGCTAGATTTCAGACGCCATGTTCTTCCCAAGAGCGGCGCGGGGCACGTGTCTCGAGCATTTTCACAACAATGAATGGCCCACTTTTTGCCAGGATAAAGGGGCTTTAGATTAAGTACTTAGATATTTGTTTTAAAAGATGTTTTAGGAGCGAAGCTCCTTAAGGGGTATTCACACGAGGGAGAAATCCCGATAATTTCTCCCCGAAACGCGCATCCCACAACGAAAACGTCAGGCTTTGCGATGTGCAAAAGCCTCGCGCTTTCATCTCGTGATGCGCGCGTGCCGGGGAGAAATCCCCGGGATTTCTCCCCTGTGTGAGGGGCTAGCCATGACCGTATGTCCGTCCGACGTCCGGCGTGGAGACGGTGGGGTGCTCGTGCTTCCGTGCTCGTGTAGGGGGAAAAAAAAAAGCGCATTTCCACGTGGTGAATGATGTTGATTGGGGCGAAGCTCGGTGGTGCTTGTCTGCGTAGATGGTGAGCCGCAGCATGCCGAGCCTTCCTTTCGTTTGCATCCATGTCAGAAAGAGAATGTGTGGTATGGAACGTGGTTATATACGCATTTGAGCATTTGACCGCAGCGTGACATGGATGAAAACGAACGAAAGGCTCGGCATGCTGCGGCTCAGCGTCTACGACGACAAGCACCACCAAAGCTTCGCCCCAATCAACATCATTCACCACGTGGAGATGCGGTTGTTTTTTAATGAATATTTCGTCGTTCTCGACGCGGGCGTCGACGAACATTACGCCGCTGCTTACGCTCTTGTCGACGTGAGTTGTCACGACACTCTATCGCGATATTGGCGACGTAAGCGACCGAAAGCGTCGCTGTGGTCGGCCTTCCACGATTGGCCCAAAAGCTGACTATGACGTCGGAAAGGGTATACCATCGACGGAAATAAGAGTAATGAAGGAACTTTAATTTCGACGGTGTTGGCAGTGTTGCTTTGAGAGCGCAATGATTTCAGGCTTCCACCATGCTATTTACAAACACCATCGAACTTGTTGTTCGCAAGGTAATGACGTCACAAGGGAGAACCATAGGAGGGCGCCACCAAAACATCTCGCCGCTAATAGACTCGTCTATTTGGCCCGCATGCAGTCTCGAGAGAGCTGTTTCAAATGTCAGTGCACATGTCATCAGTGTGGGCAGAGCAACGACGCAGCAATCGCGACGCGAGAGCCGACTGCGCTTCGATTTGGCCGACCGCGCTCGCTCTGCTGAAGCATGAGCGCGGTAAAGTGAAAAATCGGAGTTTGCTAAAACGTCGTTCGACATTTTAAATGCCACTTTTTTTTCTTTTTTTTTTTTCGGGGGGGGGGGGGGGGGGGGGGGGAGTGGGATATACGTTAGTTAGAGGCACGTGCGAATAAGCACAGACCGAGATGGTGGAATTCTCGAGTAATCGTATGAGGCCACAGTTCGCAGTAAGTATTCAATTATTTGAATAAACAAAACAAATTGTGCTTTTTGATGCGTTCAGCAGTTCCAATAAACACAACATAAAAAAACAACATTTGAGTTAGACTCTTTCCCAACTCGAGAAAAAAATGTAGTAAAATGTTATTGGACCTTATGGGCCACCGGTGTGTTCTGTAAACCGCTTTGCCTTGTGATCCAAAGCAGCCTGATATTTGACTAGCACGAAGCTGCTACACTCGACAACTTTTCTTGGCATTTCCGGGGAGAGGAGGAGAGCCGACACACAGCTTTATTCAACGCTCAAAATGGGAGAGGGAACGCGAAGTTGCAACTAGCCGAAACAGCTGCACGACCCAGAACTGCCAAAACTCCGTGGCCGATATGTATGCAGCAAAGACATCTACACATCCCTACGCGCGCCACACCTCCAAAACTTTCCCACAGCGTCGATTCTTGATCGGTATCCAAGCGTGCAAATGCACAGAGACGCACCAAGAAAGCTTTGATAACGCCGCGAGTCCGGCGAGACTTGCGCAACTTGCGTTTGACGAGTTATTATGCCTTTTTCTTGCGGTGCGGCTCTTTCGTAAAAATTTCCACGTGTTTTCAAAAGCAATTATCACCGTTTGCACGCGGTTAAAAAAACACATATTCTGCGAATGATGGTGAATGACCAGAAAACGTTTCCTCAAGCAGGCTGCCGCCCAGCTTCTGCAGCGCTACAAACTTCAGCTACGTCGGCTTTCTGTATCGCAGGATGGCTCTCTGGTGGCCGCATTTGCGGAGCGGGTTGATTGTATCAACAAACCAAAGTTTAGTTTAATAAAATGTTATAACAAAGTGATACAATGTATATTTGTTTTCTAATACTTAAAGTTAATAAAAAATGATAAAATGAAGGTGGCGTGCCACAGGCACAACAGGCCTCAAGAAAGGATCAATATCATCGGTATCATCGCAACACCAAAACAACATGGCGGCTTACAACGTTCGTAGGCCGTTCATAACAGTACGTTGTGGTAGCTTTTCTTTTTAAAGTTAGATTTGACAACATACCTAAATTTTAATTCACCACGTTGATGACGTGGTGAGCAAAACCGAAACACTCCTCAAGCGTCCCAGGCAAAGATGGCCGAGCTCGAGACCGATGAAGATCCCGAATCCCCGAGCGCGATGCACGTAGACGATTCTGCCGCAGAAGCCGAGTCGGAGGCCGCTCCGATGGACAGGGACGAACAGAGGAGACAAATCCTGGACACCGTGGCGGCGTCCGACGGCTTTTTCAAGCACCAGCAGCGCAACGAACCCGACTTGACGTACGAGGAGAAGCGGAAGATCGCAGAGGAGATCCTCGACAGCAACACTGCACTCTTCCTCCAGCGTTTCTCGAGGTCTGTCGCTTGCCTGTCGTCTACGTGTTCCTCTTCTCTGTCCCGGTCCTTTTTCTGCGCAACTGTAACCATGTTCAGTCTATAGCAACTCGCCCAACTGTCTACATTATTCGAAGTAGAGCAGTCGTTGAAAGCACATACAGGCTGTCTACCAACCGGGGAATTTCAAAGCAGCTTGAAAAGTCTGAGAATTTTTAAGCAAGTAATCATTAATCAGAAAAAAAGACTGATGTGGGCAGCGCAGTGGCACACAATGAGCCAAGAGGGTATGGCGTGCGGTGACATGGGTGATGTTTGCTCGAGGCATCACCAGTTGCAGCCGTTGCAGTCACCGCCGGATTAAAGGGGTAAGAACCCGAAGAGCTGCTGCAAGTCCATCCTCTGTATTTTCTCCTTTTGTGATGGTCAAATAATTTAATCTAAATATTCAGGGAAAACCTGGGAAAAATGGGGGAATGTCAGAGAAGCAATTTGTTAGACACCGTGATGTCGACCGGAGCTCTTGTTTTGCTCTGGCATCAGACACAAGCCAAGAATATATAGCTGGGTGTTGTAGGCAGTCGCCTCGGGGCAGAGAGAAAGAGCCTAAATATAAAGCAAAAAAAATGAATGTAAACTGTACAAGGGAAAGGGAAAAAATTCCCCACCCCACCACTACCATCCCCCGAACAGTTCTCACGTCTGCGAGATTTTTAGGAGTTAAAAAGCATAAAAAGCATAGGAATATGCCAAGCATAGCTAATGCCTGGTGCACACGTTTGCGTCCCCACAGCAACCACAGCAACGGGAACACCAGCACAACTGTGACTCACGACTAGGGATGTTGCAAACTTTTGTCGAACCCTTCAAACTTCACCTAAAGAAGCGCAAAAATACAAGGACGAGGAAGTAAACAGACAAGAGGACCTTGTCTGCTTACGCTCGCGTTGTAGTTGAACGCTCTTGTCTGTTTACTTCCTCGTCCTTGTATTTTTGCGCTTCCTTAGGTGATCATGAACCAACTGGCCCAAATTGGTACCTTCAAACTTTTTGCTAAGTTCAATGAAGTTAGACTTATGGACAGTACTTCATTTTATATTTTATAAAATGATTACCAATGTTAACACCACATAAAAGCAAAAATAGGTGCTTTTAATGCTTTCTTTAGTTGGTAATGTGAACAAGTAATGCTAATACACCCAACAAATATTACACTTGTCCCCCTCCAGGTGGAGTTTGCTTTTAAATTTTAGCGCATGCGCACAAAACTTGAACTTGGTCGAACTTGAACCTTGGCAAGTTCACGACATCCCTACTCACATGGGCGTACCAACTGGGGGGGGGGGGGGGGGGGGAGCAAGGGGGGCGCTTGCTCCCCCAGGTCTCAAAGTGGGGGGGCAAGGCATTGTTTTGCCCCCCCTTCCTGAAACAGCCGCCACTGGGCAGGGCAAACACTGGCCGGCGGCACCCAAGGAATACCTAGGGCATTGCCCCCCGACCCGCGGGGGCATATTTTTAACGCACAGGCGATACAAACCCTAGCAAAGGCGCTCACGCCGGATTGGCTGGTTTGTGGAGATAGGCGCTGCCGCCATCAACATAGGCAGCGGTTACAATGTGAGTTTCCGAGGCGGTAGCGTAACTTAGTGGTAAGGTGACTGCCTCCTACGTATCAGATCTGGGTTCTATCCATGGCGTGGGTTTACTTCTTTTATGTCCTTTCCTCGAACATTTTGTTTTGTTGAGGCCTTTGGCAATTTTTACGACATTTCTTTTTTACGATTAACATTAAAAAAAAAAAATAATTGAATGTTGTTGACGAAACATCGCTAAACTAAATCGTATGGGACTCTATTTACGGAGGTGCATGGGGGACAGTGGGGCTTGGGTTACCGGCTAGACACCGCAAAGCGGCGTGTACGGGGGGTGGGGGGCTGGGTAAGGGGGGCTAAGTGGGTTAATAGTTTTGTAATTAGCAGCCGCACAATGTCGCCGCGAAGCGGCGTGAACGCAGGCGCGGGGGTAAGTCAACGCGCTTCGAGCGATACACGAGCCGTCTGAATCCGAAATTCAAGTTCCCGCGCGTTGCCGAACAGCCAATCCGGCGTGAGCGTATTTGCTAAGGGGTCTATAGCCTGCGCCGTAGAAGGAGTCAGTTACCAAAGCGCCCAATGCGCATACACAATTGACCCTTTCCTCCCCCGCCTCTTTTTCAATGCCTACAGACACACACACGCGCCATAAAAGTTAGTGATGGACCGAATCTGCCGAACTTCAGATTCGGCAAAGTTCCACACATGCCGAAATTTCAAAGAAAAGTTTGGCAAAGATTTGGCGAAAATTTGGCAAATGTCTGCGGGTTACCATCGCTCGGTTACCATCGCACAGTTAGAAGAACCAGCGGTTATGACGAGGTGTGGTGTAGGCGAGACGGTAACTGTGCGTTTGTGAGCTTTTGCGACTGTGGTTCTCTTCAATATTTTCTGCCTCATGAACAGAAGATCGACCAGTAATTTACGCAGTCCACTGCACAAGCAACAAATGTTGCGGTGCATTCTGGATAACGTGATTTTCATTTGACCTTTCCATTGATGCAACGGGGTAGTTGAAACATTGACTGACAACTGACAATGACGCTCAGTGTGCGTAGCCCACTGCCGTCAAACCGGGCAGCGTCATGAGGGCTTGCCAGAATGTATGGGATGCAGCTGGCATCCTCGTTGTAATGCGATATATATTTTCTTCCTTCTTTTCTTTCCTTTTTACATACTTTCTGTAGTGTGTATATTCTGTACATTTATTTGTCTGTTTTGTTTTTGGTGGCGGGCTGACAGCAGACTTGTGCAAGCTTCTAAAAAAAGTAATTAAGTTACTGAGTATTAGCCTCAAAAGTAATTTGAGTAGAGTAGAAATTACTCAAATGGAAAGTAGTTAAGTAAATTACTAATTACCATAAAAAAAGTAGCGAATTACTTTTGGAGTTACTTTTATTTTTTCTATGCTAACAAGTAAGTACTTACATAGGTTTTGATGCGTTAGCGAAATTGTGCTAGTCGAATATAAAGTGGCTTGTGTTTTCACAGAAATGCTTTAATAGCTGGTTCTGCTTCTGCATGCCTAATTGTTGTGTACTTTTTTTGGTCAAGGATGTACTGCGGATGTATCATTTCACCTTTGAGGTTTAGCACTGCCTGAGCTTGATTTTACAGACAGTGTTTGATTGCTTACAGTGTTGCGTAAAGTATGTGTAAAAACTGCTTGGAAGTACACAGTAAATGGGACGTTATGTACTTCATGTGAAGTACACCGGGTGCAATGTACTTGAAGTGAAGTACTATAAGTACAATTTACTTCCAAAGTAAAGTAGAAGTACTTTTAGAGCGCAGCTCTTAGGCGCCTGTTTCCGGCTTGAGCGGCGTCGGCGTAACCGCGCAGTGCATTATGGGTGAATTTCCCCGCTAAATCTAGCAGAAAAATTTCCCCGCTAAATCTAGCAGAAAGAATTTCCCCACTAAATCTAGCAGAAAAATTTCCCCACTAGATTTAGTTGAAAAATGTCCCCACTAAATCTAGCGGAAAAATTTTCCCGCTAGATTTAGCGGAAAAATGTCCCCACCATACCTCGGCACACCTCACTCATGAGGGCCCTCACTCACCCTCATCTTCACAGGTGAGGTGAGGGTGAGTGAGTTTCTGAACCAAGAAAATTCATGAGTGTGGGGGTGAGTGAGGGCCATGAGGGCTGTGAGGGCGGTGAGGGCCGTGAGGGCCATGAGGGCCATGAGGGCGGTAAGGGATATGAGGGCCATGAGTGCGTGAGGAGTGTGAGGGCAGTGAGTGGCGTGAGGGCCATGAGCGCGTGAGTGGTGTGAGGGCGGTGAGTGGCGTGAGGGGTGTGAGGGGCCATGAGTGCGTGAGGGCAGTGAGTGGCATGAGAGGCGTGAGGGCCGTGAGGGCGGTGAGTGCATGAGGTGTGTGAGGGCCATGAGTGCGTGAGGGCGGTGAGTGCGTGAGGCCCCCTTCAGATTGAGCATCTTTTTTAGCAATTTTGGTGTTAATGACGGATTGTTCTCTAGCTTTCCCTAGATCGACACGAATTGCTGAGATCGAGTCCGGCTCGAAATAAGCAAGCAACTCGGAGCGATTTGAATATGTTTGAAGCGGCTGCATCCAATCAGGGACGCAAAATTTTCACGTGATACCTCGTGCCGGTGATGATGACACCGAAAGACTTGGTTCTGGTTTGAAATCGATCGTTTTTTGGAAATAAACTGTTTCAGAAAAGTGCATTAGTATTCTTTCCGCTAAATCTAGCGGAAAAAATCCCTTGCTAAATCTAGCAAAAAAATTTCCCCGCTAAATCTAGCAGAAAGAATTTCCCCACTAAATCTAGCGAAAAAATTTCCCCGCTAAATCTAGCGGAAAAGTTCCCTTGCTAAATCTAGCAAAAAAATTTCCCCGCTAAATCTAGCAGAAAGAATTTTCCCACTAAATCTAGCGAAAAAATTTCCCCGCTAAATCTAGCGGAAAAATTCCCTTGCTAAATTTAGCGAAAAAATTTCCCCGCTAAATCTAGCAGAAAGAATTTCCCCACTAAATCTAGCGAAAATATTTCCCCGCTAAATCTAGCGGAAAAATTCCCTTGCTAAGTCTAGCGAAAAAATTTCCCCGCTAAATCTAGCAGAAAGAATTTCCCCACTAAATCTAGCGAAAAAATTTCCCCACTAAATCTAGTGGAAAAATTCCCTTGGTAAATCTAGCGAAAAAATTTCCCCGCTAAATCTGGCAGAAAGAATTCCCCCACTAAATCTAGCGGAAAAATTTCCCCACTAAATCTAGTGGAAACATTTCCCGCTAGATTTAGCGGAAAAATTTCCCCGCTAAATCTAGCAGAAAAATTTCCCTGCTAGATATAGCAAAAAAATTTCATTGCTAAATCTAGCGGAAAAATTTCCCCACTAAACCTAGCGGAAAAATTTCCCCGCTAGATTTAGCGGAAAAATTTCCCCGCTAAATCTAGCGGAAAAATTCCCTTGCTAAATCTAGCAGAAAAATGTCTGGGGGGTCACGTGATTTGGGAGGTCACGTGACCCCCTCACAGGTCACGTGACCCCCCAAGATCACGTGACACCCCCCCCCCCCCCTTCCCGAGAACACGTGACCCTCAGTACCCTTCCCTCCTCCTTCTCAAGAGCTGCACTCTAATTCGGCGTTACAGAGAGTTGTAAACGGCTTTCATTTTTTTTAACACACTCTTTCAGAAAGCCCTTTCATTCCCAATACAGCATTTTTTTTTCTTTTTAATTGGCCGGAATGCACTGTTTTAGGGGAAATCGGAGGTGCATCACTTTTTGTATTGGGAAAGGGCGGCAAAGTCGGAGGTGCATCAGTTTCTTGTTTTATTTTTGGAAATGGTGGCGACTAATACACCTTAGAGTAATTGCTTTATTCTCGCTGACGAACTATTTAACATAATCAACTTATAAGGAACTTATTTGTATCGGTCTTATAGCCGCCCTTACTTCACTCAGAAATGGCCAGATGACGTCTCGAAAGACAGCACAAGCTATACAGGAGCACCAGACGAACTTCAGAGTGGGTGCTGCACTTTGTTACCTCCTTTGAGTGAGGATGTAGTGTGTATACCTCCTGTAGTGGGCAAAAATTCCTACATTGGGGAGAAGCAAAAACAAGCTCTTTCCTCAAATGGGTCGAGTCTTCTTAAGCTTCGGGATACAAAGAAACGCCAGTCTTCGGCGCTAATCCCACAGTTACTCGGCCTCTCTTGCATCGTGTCTGTTCGCTCCCCGCGCCTCGTAGCACTGTTGTTGCAGTGGGGGGCTCGTTAAAATTTTCGGGGGTTTTAATTTATCCAAATCACTTCCTTCCTCCCCCCACCCTTTTCTACGTCACATGCTTCCCCCTCTGCCAATATCAGCTGATCTTCCAACATCTTATTTCTGTTGATAGGCAAAACAACCACTAAAATTCGAAATTAATTTGTAATTTGAGTAGAGGTCGTTCCACAAAGTAGTTAAAGTAAACTACTAATTACCAAATTAGAAATGTAATTGAAAGTTACTAAACTACCCAGAAAAGTAGTTAAACTACAGTAACTTCAGTAAGGTAGTTGAACTACGTACAAGTTTGGCTAGCAGGAGCTCTGCGTAAGGGTTTTCATCTATCTGCCTAGCCCCGCACACCACCACATGGGCCCCTTCCAGTATGTGCAAAGGAAATTATTATTATTATTATTATAACAATCCTGTTTTCGGCTGACGAGTAGTTTGTACCAAAATAGAATAATATTGCTTTTTAGTTCGCATTATTTCGCGATTTTCATGTATCTGCGTAAAACTAAACACAGAACTATCATGCTCGATGTTGCACATCCGACATTCCTAACTCTCCCCAACTTCCTAAACGTCCGTGTGTGTCCTAACTCCAGAAACCGGAATGTTGAAGGTTAAAAACGGCACGTTGTGAATATGGAATGCACACTTTCATGCAAAGCTGACGTCAAGTGACTCAAATCGAAAAACATGCATATTTATAATATTGTTATCTCTTCTGGTGAAGACTCAGCAACCATTGCATTTGTTTTTGCGCACAAAACGGTGACTCCCAGAGAAAGTAAAAACACAGTGATTGCCTTTATTTTAACAATGTAAACACACTTGCAAGCGTGCGCTGATGAAGCCTCAAAATCAAAACTCTTGTAGCGTGATTCGTGACTGCGCCGGCTACTACCCAACCTCGTTGTCACGCCACTTTCTGCAAGAAAAGCGACATTGATACAATTATCTTGTAGAATATCACCTTATTTAGTCATAACTGTGCCAATAGGCACTACATGTAGTATTTAAGTTAAGAAAAAAAAAAAAACCTTTTTTCGTGAGAAAAAATTAAATATCACTGTTAAGTCTGGTAACAGTGGATTTTTGCCGAATCATTACCGAATCATTAGAAAAGCTCGGCAAAAGTTCGACCCATCCCTTGTAAAAATAAATTTTGATTCCACAAAAGTTCGGCCCATCCCTAGTAAAAATATGCGACCGGGGAGGGGGGTCTGGTTTGCCCCCCCACTCAAGAACAAATCGGTATGCCAGTGCCCACTCACGACTGTTTCACGAAGCTACTTGCATCACTTGCCACATTGTGTACGGCAAACAATTGTCCCAGTGAGTTTGTCATTTCGATCATTCCGAACGCAACTAATGCAAGTGTCTGAGCCAGGCTTAAAGCTCTTACGAGCAACATTAGTGTGTTCTGCACTACGCTGTTGATCGGCACATGCCTGGTATCATTCATGGTTAAGAAAACTGGTTAAAGTAGCCTACATAAAAAGGGCAGCAAATAGACTGATGCTGAGGCATGCATCCTTAGGAGGAATAGCAGGTGAAAAAGGAAGGCAATGTAGGCAGACAAATGCACCCTTGCACAGCTTAAACGAAACCATTCGAGCATATGGCTGCACATGTGGTACTGTCTACTCGCTGTGTTAACTTGGTGCAAGGCTGCCCATGCGTTCTTAAGGGTAATGGTGCATTTTTTAAATTGTTTGTTTTTGTCAAGTTTTTCATATTAGGAAGATTATTTTAGAAGCCACGCTGTCTCTGTTCACAAGTAGCATATGCAAGCCGACACGCAACTGAAATGGTGTCACTGATATGAAGTCGATGAGCAAATACACGCAATACAAAACAAATGGCGCTCGTGTATGGGAAATTCAAGTCTCGTGCCTTCATCCTCGGTCAAGTAAAAAGAACGGAGTCTACCCCATGACTTCTTTGAACAAGAATTTCCAAAGAAATGGAACTGCTGTCAAGAGTGAAAACAATGAATCACCAAATGTTGATAGCCACTGCTCCACGCAAATGCCGATTGCAGTCACATACTTCTGCAACTTCCTCTAATTTGTGCAAGCACACAGAGTGCTCAAAACATTAATTTGGTTCTCGAAAGGTTTTTGTTTCTTTTGGTGCAGCGGCACTCTTCCCGGTTGCCAACCTCATTGAGACAGAACTGCGAATTCTATTTTATAAATGGTGGTGCAAACTGGAGATGTATTTCTGAGGTGCAGTTGGAACACTTTTTATATTTGGGCTTGGGCCCAGCCTCTCGTCAAAAAGGGAATGCCTTTTGTTCATCCAAATTCACACCTAAAAGTGCTTCCACATTTTATTCTTCCCTCTTAGACGCATTGTTTTCTGGCAACATCTTTGATTGACTCGGACAAATCAATTAGGTCAAACTTTATAGAATCTGGCAGGATCCTGGCATCTCGGATGGCAAGCCCCTCCAGGTAGAAATCACCTGCGGAGCTAGTGTTGCCCACAGTGTAAAATATATAGATGTGGACGCCGCGCGCGTCGCAGCTGCCAGGTAAACTCTCCTCAATTCGGTTCCATGCGATGCCACAAGAAGACTCTTCGATAAGTGACTAGTGGTAGCCTGTGGTGGTTTCCTGTGGGAAAGATGCTTGTATTTAAAGTTGCTTTTTGGGTGTTCCGCATCATGTGAAACTTGGCACTTGTGCTACGTGGCTTGCTTAGCCACAACTTCGTCATTGACCCTTGTTTCGTGCCTTGATGGCGGCAAGAACAGTCTTACGATCGCGTTGAAGTGGTGAGGACTCTGGCCCAGTGCTCAAGCCAGCGTCCGTCGAGGTCAGGGTAGACGTGCTGAGCAGAGAGTGCGTCTCTTAAGATGTGCCACCGCTACGATTGCCAAGTTCTTTGTTGGCTTAATTTGCGACGTTTGTGCGCAAGGGGGCCACAACAATGAGGCACTCTTTGTTTTTGCTTGTTCCTTTTTCCTATCGTTTGCGTCGTCTGGCGGACGGAAACGCTGGCGGCACGGGCTGTCCGCTTGCGTCGCAGCTTTTGCCGTGCCGTCTGTCCTCGCCTAGAGAGCATCTTGCACCATGGTGTCGCCTAACCTTGCAGGTACCTGTACCGCGAGGACGCCTCTTACTTCGAGCCGTTGAGGAGGACCAACTACGAAGTGGATTTCTACCTGCGGGAGCTGGAGAAAAAGCGGCAGAGGGGCCTGAGTGTGCAGACCAAGAACCGGCGCTACGAGGCGCTGCAGCGGCTCCAGTCGGAGGGAGACTACTTCAGCGACAAGGAAGTGCGCCGGAGGAACCCGCTTCTCTTCGAGCAGATGGTGGGGCGCTACATGACGGAGAAGGAAAAGGAAGACCTGGACAAGATGGACTACTCGACCCTCACGTAAGCATGTGTGGGCGGTTTCCACACTGACAGCTATAGGCTGTACATCTGAAACAACTCGTGCAGAGGAGTACAGGGGTACTGAAACATGTTTCTTTTTCAAGGAACCCCTGATTGACTTGAACAGCAGCCAGGGAACCCCTAATAGTGTCAGCGTCGATGCAAATAAGGCAATGCAGAAGCCTACAACGTAAATAATAATGCATGCACTATGGAGTGTATGGAACATGGTGGTACATCCAAGGCAGTGTTGGGTAAAGTACATCTAAAAAGTAGTTGGAAGTAAAGTACAAAGTAACAGAGGTTGTATACTTCAAGTGAGGTAGTAAGTACACAAGGCACAATGTAGTACTATAAGTACAATGTACTTTCAAAGTAAAGTACAAGCACTTTTTGCGCAATCTTTCTTGATACCCTTCCATTCCCTTATACACTGTAAAGTGGCCACAGAGTAGTAGTAGTTTTACTCACTTACGAACTATTTAACGCAATCAACTTACGAGGCACTTTTTTATTGACAGAGCATTATTTTTTGATACAAAATCAACAAGATTAAATATAGAGAATGTACTTAGAAGTCGGGAGTTGAAAAGTACCAGAAAAAAATGAGACATTTACATATCTCTGTAATGCGAAACTAGAGCGCCGCTCTTGCGTACGAGCAGGGGAGGGTATGCCCCTTCTCCTCCTCTGTGCCCTCCCCTCCTCCTCTTTCTCTCTTTCTCATCCTTTCCTCCTCCTCTCCTCCTGCCACTAAATTTCTTCATGGGTGATGTGACACGAAGTCGTGATGTTATTTTCCTTGCTAAATTTAGCGGGGAAACTGAATTGGTGTTAAGGCCACATAACAATTTCCCCGCTAAATTTAGCGGAGAAGGATTTCCGCTAAATTTAGAGGAAACATTTTCCCACTAAATTTAGCAAGAAAATTTCCTTACTAAATTTAGCGGGAAAATTTCTCCGCTATCTTTAGCGGGGAAACGTCCCATAATGCAACGCCGCTCCACCCGGAAACAGCAATGCCGCTCCACCCGGAAACAGGCGCCTAAGAGTTACTCTCTAGAATACTTTAGTAAAGTACAAGTACATACTCAGAGAATGTACTTCAAGGAAAGTACAAGTTTTCTAAACCTACTTGAAGCAGTACCTTAAGTAATTCCCAACACTGATCGCAGGTTAGTTCAGATCTGCTAGAATGGTGCCTAAGCTGGAAAAAAAACCTCTTCACTTAGGGGCAGGTGCTGTCTAGGAAAGCTTGTGTAACCCATGGGGGTACACTGGGGAATCCCTGGGTTTCCCAGAGTACCCTCTTGGTTCCTCCCAAATTTCCTCGACCCAATCACCAAAAATATTCGAAAACAAAAAAAAGCAAACAAAACATTCAGGAGCAGAACAGGGGCAGTTCATAATCACTAACAGTCCTGTGCGCCGTAAGAAGCGTGTACAAAGTCCACATATTTTTACCATTCGGGAAGTGAGGGAAAGGAGAAAGTCCTATTTCTGTTTGTCGTGTTTTCTTTCTCGTCTCAATGCCATCTACTTTAGCGACCGTTATTCTTTGGATGACCCAAAAACTCGTTTTCCATCGGTAACACTGTTTGTAACAAGGTTTTCTCAGTCAAGCAAGTTGATACCGACGAAATTTTGGAGGCAATAAAAAAAGCCAAAGCGTCCGTGGGTGCGGATTTAATACCTAGGTAGTTTTATTGTAAGAAGCTGTGCCGATTTATTTGACCCTTCACTAAATCATGTATTTAATCTTCCGCTTAGAAAATGTGTCTTCCCAAGTATATGCAAAAGCTATGTCGTACCAATACACGAAGCTGGTGATGCGTCTTGAGGTAGAGAATTACCGCCCTGTACACTTATTGTGTTCTTTCTCAAAATTTTATGAAATACGGATTTATAATTGCATTTCTTTTTTCTTCTCTCGAGAACTGAGCACCGTTCAGAATGGATCTGAAAGAGGTTAGGTTAGGTTAGGTTAGTGTGCGAGGGCAAGTCAATATTGTTTATTTTGATTCATCGAAGGCTTTTGATAAGCTAAACCACAAATAGCTTCTACGCAAGCTTTTTTTGTATGATGCGTCATTGCTGCTTTTTATTGTGGTTCAGTAGTTATCTGAATGGTAGTCAGAAAAATGTGTGTGTCTTGAACAATTTATCAGAGGTTTTTGTACCAACTTTGGGTCAAACCTGAGAACACTTGTTTTTCTCATATTTATTAGTGATATTGAATCGTATGTAAGGAATGCACAGTTTCTCTTATTTGAAGACAACATCAAGCTGTATTTAAGAATTCAGTCGGCGAATGACTGTGTTCTTTTACAAGATGACGTTTCACGCATTTCAGGGTCGTGTTCTGGTAACTTATCAGTGGTCAATCCAGGCAAAACAAAAATTTTGATAATATGTAGAAAATGCGAGAGCATTTCTTATTCACGTCTACTTGGCAATACTTCTATTGAATGCATTCAGCAAATATGTGACCTAGGTGTTTATTTTGACAGTTAGTACCTTTCTTTTTCATACCACGTCACCCAAATTGTTACCTCTGCTTCTTGAATGCTGGGAATCACATCATGCCTGATGCATTACTTTTGGAATCTTATGTGCATCATTTGCTTGTTTTGTTCTTTATTCTGTGTTAGGCTCAAGTTTTGTAGAGCTGTATGAAATTCACTGACGAAAACTGATGTAGCAAGGACAGAAAAAGTTCAGAGAGGCTTAATTCACATTGTTTATGACAAATATTTTGAGAGATTTTTTTAATTATTTTTACATGACTTGTCATAAAGAAGAATTGCCTCTGAGGTCTTTACCCCTGTCAAACGGGCTAATTTTGTGCTTCTCAGCTCACCAAATGTCATTTCAACTAGGGATGTCGCGACCCTGCCCAGGTTCGAGTTGGATCAAGTTTGACTTTTTTAAACTTTCAACATGATGTTCAACAAAGGTTTGGCTGAAGTTTGACTCTTGTGCACATGTGCAAAAAAGAAAGAAGGTCAACTGACTCCACCTGGCGGAAAAAAAGTGCAAGATTTGTTGAGTGTATTGGCACCGCTGGTTCACATTACTAACTAATGAAAGCATTGAAAGTGCATATTTTTGCTTTATTATGATGTAAATGTTGGTAACCATTTTAGAAAACATAAAATGAACTACTTTCTAAATTATTGGTTTTTCAAAATTTAAAATATTCACATAAAAGCCGGGCAACGCTGTCCACAAGTCAAATTTCTGCGAACTTTAGTGAAAGCTTGTGGGATTTCCCTTGCTGCTACCCGTCTCGGAGAATGACACAGCACGCCGGTTCAACAACACGTAAACATTTAATGAGCGCTATCGCCTGCGCCGCGATCCCAACAGCCCCCGCGCATCCGCTGCGACGGCCTATTATCAGCGGCGGAGCGCCGCTCGCGTGGCCAGTTGCCCTTGGCCCCCTCGTGGTCAAGATGACCACTTATGATTGTCGGAGGGGCAGCCTGGGCCAACCGCTTGGAATCGCCAGGTTGCCCACGAGCTCTATGGTTCCGCAAACCAGTCAAACCTTGAGGTTCGACATCCAAAGTCAAGGTTTGACAAAAGTTTGCTGCATTCCTAATTTCAAGTGTTTCCGTGTCACACGGGATAAATTAGTTTCACTTTGAAATGATGACAATAACGATAGGTAAAGTACTATTAGACACCTTAAATGTTAAGGGTATAAATGTCCCAGCAATGTTTACTCTTTTTAATAAAGACACCTTACAGGACAACATTATCTTAATTGACAATATTTATGCCAATTGGATGATTCTGATCGACCATCACAAGCCAAAAAAAAAAAAGAAAAAGAAGATGAAGAAGAAGAAGCAAACTCACATGAAGCCGAGTGTGTTCTCCAGGCAGAAGCTGTGTGGCACACTACACAAATGGCTCTAAAGGCGTCAGTTGAAGCACACTAAATTACCCCATCTGACCGGGGTATTATATTTGCACAAAGTGGTTCACGGTCTTGTAGATAGCAATCCGTCGTCATTGAAATTCCATTTGCCGGCTCTTGTCTTAGATGTTTGTGTATATTTTACCCATCCTTTCAAGCAAAATTCTCACCATTAGTAAAAATGCAGAATTGTTTGAATGTCAACGTATCTTCATATTTCCTTGCGTTTAAAAGGGAGCTTGAATTGCATCTTTTCAGCTATTAACCTGAACCGCATTTCTCAACGATTATTAACCCGGGCTGTGTTTTGTTTTCTAATTTATGTGCCACCATATCCTGACCGGCTGGTTGTTTTGGAAATATCAAACAAATAATGCATTATTGTTATTATTATTATTATTATTTTATGTAACTGTTTGCAGCACAGTTTAACCAAAGAGAAAACCCCTGGTTGTGTTCCTTGAGATTAAGGTGCCTGGAACGCATCTCATGGTGAATTCGGGTGGTCGCCTCTCTCCACTGACCTCGATTCAGCAAAGTGCCCCCTCCTCGCCGCCAGAGCTACTCGGGATCCTTTTCAGCCGATCACAACTACTGGCTTCAGAGCGCTCCGAGATTCTCAGACCAGTCACGGAATTAAAATTTCTGACATTGGTAATGCATTAAAAACGACACGATCTTACAGCTTACGGTGGACGATTGAGCAAAATTTACGCTCGCAACATGATGAAATAACGGTTGTGACGTAAATTGTTTTACGCATTGGCATGTAAAAGAAAGAAGACAGCAGTATGCGAATTGATTTTTTGCAGAAAGGAACGAAAGCCAAGGCTTGGAAACAGTTGTCAACTCATCGCGTTTTCGACAGTGAACGCGCTGCGATAGCGGTCATGCGTACGACAGAGCAGGCAAATATAAAATAGTTAATAAACCACATTTTTCTCACGGCGAAATATTGTGCAAGCATTGCAATGTGACACAAATCACAGTGCGTTATATTCGGCTCTCCCTTTATTTTACAACACAAACCTTTGAACACACTTTTATCAAACCTCTAAAATTTCTTGAACGACCACAAAACCCGGTAAAACAGTGGCGAGCTCTGCGAGCTGTTTCGTCGTAGGTTAGGCTTAGCGGTTTCACTGCCGTGAGATGAACGATCTCGTGAACGCACTGGGAATACTTCACTCGTCGGCTTCTCCTGTTATGGTCGCAAACGAATGTTGTCCCGTCCGTTGTAATCCTCGCACCGTCGAATGCACAAGCACTTTGTAGAACCACGTATCAATCGCCATCATGCCGTACCCCGCACACCACCACAGACCACTGCTGGCCATCGTCAACAAAACTACGTGATCACCGTCCAACTACCACGTGACGCCTGCGCCGCTCCGAACTCAGACGGCTACAGACGCAGTGCCAGGGAGTGCTCCGAGAGGGAGAGGCGCCCTCGGACTGAACCACCCGATCAGGCCACAGCACTCTTTCAACCACCCGATTTCGCACGCTCTGGAAAGAGTGCTTGAGAGCGCGCAGAAAGAACCGTGCGAATTCGCCGTCAGCCTGGTATGTTTAGCGTCCTATTCCACCCGTACATCAAAGGGGGTCCCAAAGTGGCAACAAATGACGTCACGGAAGCCGGTGTGCCCCGTTGTTGGACGTTGTGGTCCTGGCGGTTCAGCTAGAAGTCCCGGCAGAAAGCATGAGCAAATGCGTGTGTCGTCTTCACGGAGCCCCAACTCCTGGCCGTTGGATCTTCCGTGGACCGTGAATCTAGAGAGCAACCTGCAGCAGAGCAGGCGTCTGCCACATACAACCCTGCCACTCTACCACTGCCAGGGTCGCGACCGGCGACAACACGTCACTTCCATGATGTCATCGGGCGAAAATCGAGGGGCCATTGTTTTAGATGCGATGAACACACCGTTTTTGTTTTCCTCCTGCAGCCCCATATTTTTGTGTTTTCTTCAGATTGACATTTTTAATGGGTTCGTGTTGTGTTCTAAACAACTTACAAAGTATGTGTCCCCGCGACACACGCGAGAGCGAACTTTAGTTGAAGCCCGAGCTTGGCCCGCGTGTATGTACTATGCGTTGCTTACAATAAATCAGACCACACACGGTACATTATTTTAGAGACAATACAAAGTTTCGAGCACTGAGCTGGCCCTTTTGTTTTCCTGTTTTAAAGGATTGTTGGGGCTCAGCTGCACCCAGACCAGCTCAAACTAGCACGCTTACAGTTTTCTCCAATCTGCTGCAACTTGTGGTCACAAAACCTGAAATAGCGACCTTCGACTGCTTGAAAATGCAGACAGAAAACTAAGGCGGCACAAAAAGGTGGTACAAAATAGTGGCGGTGGACTTGCACTCATTCTTTGTCGCATTATCGGTGGAATCGAGGACGGGTTCAGAGATAGCAAGGTCAGCCAAGCTTTTCCTAGCCTCTTCGAACTGTCTCTTACTTGCAACTCGGGCGACACAATTCTTTTTTTTTTTTTTATCTTGCCATGCTTTATTAGTGTCGGAAAATTAGATGGGAAATAGAGGTGGACTATCTTTCATGGCTGTGTTATCTGCCGTGATGTTATGGTACACTCTGCAACACTTAGCGCAAACCAGTCGTTGCTGGTGTTCTGTTTTTCTCTCAGTATTCAAGGACTGTCATCAAAACTACTATTGTGGTGGAGAGCGTTCGGTTGGGGCACTAAACACAGTGGTAGGTTTTTATGCCTGCCCTTTAGAAATAAACACAACAAAGCACCGAAGTCGTCTTTGCGCTCACAGTGTCCCGTAGTGTGCATTGTTCCGAGTCTTGCAGTTTCCGAACGAAGGGTGTTCACAAGTGTTGGTTTCCGGATCCATTGTTGCTTTCCTGACGGTGTCCCTCGTGAGTTCTCCTGTATCACCGGTTCCCGTCCATCCCACTGCGCAGGTTCTCTGGCCTGCTGATGCACCACATCGACCGGAACGAACTGAGCAGCCGCAGGAGACAGCAACAGGACGTCGAGGAGGCCACCTTCGAGGAGAACGACTCGGACTCCGAAGACGAAGGTACGTCGGGTCGCGTCCTCTTTGTTGCCAAAACTGTTCGAAGATTACGCGTGGCCTCCGACACCGTGCCAGGTGGCAAAGCAAAGCTAAGGAACCCAAGTAACTGTGGTTGATGGGCACAAGCCACATGTAAAAAGTATCGTAGAAAAATAGGACAATGCTTACGACTTTCAAAACAATGCCCAACTTAATGTTCGCACCTTGTTAAGTGGCTGACTCCTTTGCTCGTAAAAATGTCAAGCATGTGCTGGAGGCCGGGTGTCTGAACTACACACCCTGCCGTTTTCATTCTGTCAGTGACTAAGCTCTTAACCAGTGTTGTAGTCATTATCGAAAAAAAAAGTAACAAGGTATGTTACTCGTTACCGGCAAACAAAAGGAATGCATTACCGTCACCGCCAAAAATGTAAGGTATGTTACTTTTTTATCACTTTTTATTTATGAATCGAGACGTTTTACTGATTTTGACGTTGCAAGCCTTGGGAAGATGTAACGAGGAACGTAGCCATGTTGTCCGTTACTCGAAATAAGAAACGTAAGGTTATTCGTTACTGTTTTGAAAATGGAATGACTATGCTACTATGTCACCGAGAAAAGTGGCGCATTACCGGTAATGCCGTTGTCCCCAACACTGCTCTTAACACAAGATGTGACTGTCTTGCAAACTGCGATAGACGTTTCACCTTGCAAACGAGAAAAGCTTTGTGACCAGAAAGTTCGAAGCCTCCCGTGGATAACTGACTGAGAATGAGCCTATGTGCACTTTAAGGCTCACTTGTCTTTCAAACACTGCTTTCACTCTCTTTTATTTCTGTTCCTCGGCGGTCAGAGGTATTCGAAGGTTTGTTGTAGGCCCAGTCATTTGTCATAGTAGCCACCGGCTTTCTCTTCCAGAGTGTGACGAGCCCGACGCACCCGTTGTCTCTGCAACGGAGAAAGCCATGCTGAGAAGCGAGTTCATGAACACAATGTACGAGTCATTCCTTTCTGGCAAGGACCATGACTACGACTACGAGTGAGTAGGCCCTAACTCCCCGTGTCCAAGTACCCTGAATATTCATGTACGGGGTGGCTTTTTTAGGCTTTACACATCGTTTTACGGACTGTATTAAAAAAAGGAGTTGCAAAAGCTACACTAATGCAATATGATATAAAGTGTAAATAAAGTTTGAACTGTTTTTTTTTATTAGCTTTTTTTTCTTACTGATAGTCAGTTTTTAGCATCCATACGAAGCAAATTGCCGAACTACGCAGATTTCTCTTAAATAGATGAACACCGGAGAACATTTGCTCTCGTAAAAAAAGCAAACTCGTCTTTTTTTTTACGAGGATCAGACCGTGGTGCCCCAAGTGGCTAACTTTAGAACTACACAGATGGGGACAACAAATAACAATGACTCAGCGCCTGGCTGACTTAACCGAACGCCACGTGAGCGTTCGCCAGGAGCTCATGTTCTCCGGTTGCCTGAGGGGGCTGAGGGGCTCTTTTGTTACCACTCCGGCCTGCATGAACATGCAGCATGCACAGTGCCCAGCTCAGCACGAAAGCCGAAGTGGGTCAAGCTTGCATTCTCTGACGACTGCTTTCGGGAGAGATCCGGCACTAACAACAAACGTCACTGTTTATTATTAGCATTTTTACATTAGAATGTGAACATGCCCACAAGGCCTGTGGGCATGTCCACAGGACTTGTGTTGGGTGAACACAGAGGTGTGGGACGACAAACGGGCCAGAGCGTCTCCTATAGTTCAATTTCCTTGCCAATACTTAGTGTCACCAGTTGCATGCAGTGCAGGCGAAGGCAACGCCAGGCGAAGAAAGAAAGGGCGAGCACTAGGAAGGCGGGATGGGAGAGGAGGACGAGGGAGAAAGGGAGAGCACTAGGAATGTTAGGAGTTTTCTCTCCTCTCCAGCCTTCCTAGTGCTTGCTCTTTCTCCCCTTGCCTGGCTTTGCCTTCGCCTGTACTGCACGCCACTAGTGACACGGACTATAGTACTCTACAGTATTATGTCTGCTGTACACTGTATGACAGACCCTGCTAGTGCAACTAGGTGATCACCGCTTTCCCCCCTTTTTCTCTTAGACTAGAAGAACTGCTATGACTCATATGGGACACTAATCTCAGACCCATTCAAAGTAAAATGCAAAAAATGGCCAATCTCGTGCTTGTGCTAACAGTGTTGCGCAGTGTACAGGAGCAGCCGTAAGGACCAGCAGATCTGGCATGCCTAATAAATTTTGAATCCTAAAACATACACACCTAAAATTTGCCACGCAAACGTCGCTTCGCAAAGTTTTACATCTATTTTTTGTAAAGCTCAACTCAGTGGTGAGGTATTAGAAATAGAGGAAGAACGACAGTCGCACGTTGTAATGTCCCATACCAGACGTTTGTCGCCTGCACACAAATCTGTGAGCTTTTTCTCCCCAAGTGGTCATTGTTTGTATATATTGCTGAAATTACTACTTATTATGATTATCCTGCTTGTCGCCAGCTTCTAAAACGGCATTCTCAGCGTTTTTGTGTTCAACAAGCCACCCGGAAGCAAGCTCGCAAACCGGTGTGCAGACAACTAACAGGCTGGTACGCGGAGCGCAAGATTGTCTGCTGCTTTTCCATGGGTTGTGGTAATGTCAGAATGCCCAGCTCCGATTGAAGGATAGTTGGTAGACTATAAAGCAAGCTGCCTTTAGGTTTACCCGCTATCCTCCAATCAGAGCACGGCATTCTGACGTCACCACAACACCTGCAAAAGAGGCAGAACTCGTGCTACGCATAGGGCATGGGAGATTCACGACCACCGTTTTCGCATAATTTTTAGAAGTTCACAACCTCCAAGTTAAGAAAAAAAAAATAGGTATAACACTTTTTGCAAAACAAAGTTTTGCAAGAAGTTTTATGTTTATTTTTTTCAGGTATGTATGTTTCCTATGTACACACCTGAAATTTCAGGCATGTACATTTGGAATTCAAATTTTTCGGTGCGTGCGAAATCTGCTGGTCTCCATGGACATTTCCCGAACGTCGTCTGAACTGGCGTTTACAGTGTCACTTTCTGGCCAGGTCCGTGGACAACAACGCCGAGTACGATTCCCTCAAGACGAGACAAAACGACGAAGAGGAGAAATACTTTGATGCCGAAGAACCCGAAGTTGTGGATGCCGTTACATAAGCTTTTGGGTTTGCTGCACTTTTTAAGACTTGAGAAGAATAAAAAGGGGTGTATATAGTAATCATACACAATATTCTTACCTGTGTCTTCTGCCAGCTCTAGTAATCACAATGTAACTATTCTCTATCCCACTAGTTGCATGCGGTGATGTCGAAGCCACGGGCCAGAGAGAGAGGAAAGCTGCTTTTGTGGAAACTTTGAGTGACAGGCCAATGAGTGTGACAAACGCAACACCGGAACAAAACCGTTCCGGTTTTCGTTCCGGTTCGGGGAACGAAAACCGGAACGGTTTCGTTCAGCTCTGGAGTAAATAAAGAATAGCAGTTCATACCAATTTGTATTCGCATGTTGATAAAAAAAAAAAAAAGTTTAACATAGCAAAAATGTAAACGTCTTGGAAATAAACAGCGGCTAAGAAACTTGGACAAGAGTAAAGGAACAAACCCGACAGGACGGCACTGAACTAACAACTGTTGTTTATTACACAAAATCGGAAGGAAGAAAACAAGAAGCTTCCTTCCAATTTTGTGTAATAAACAACAGTTGTTACTTCAGCGCCGTCCTGTCATGTTTGTTCCTTTACTCTTGTCCTAGTTTCTTTGCCGCTGGTTATTTCCAAGATGTTTGCCTCAAACCAACTAGCCCAACACGTCACATTGTTATAGCAAAAATGAAAACTATTTTTTATTAAAGTGGTAAATATTAATGGGGTGAAGCTGAAAACCGTTCATGCATTGTGTGGAACAAGAATAATGAGCCCAATTTTGAACACATCATTAGGCCGATAAAATAAATTTTAGTGGAGAGGAAGTTTCCCATGCTGACCGGAGTCGTGGGAACCTTGATGGCTACCTGTGCTAATGCGTGAAGTCCTGGAAGACGTTGCATTCCCTCTCATAAGCGTGGCTTTTTATGACGATTTAGTTGGTTAATGTTGTCCTATAATTCTTGATAAAATATCCACACCTATCCTAAAAGCTGGTAACAATTATTGCAATGTCTCTGATGTGAGTGGGTGCATAAATGATTGTCAAGAACATGGGGAGGGTTTCATGCGCCAAAGCACGTGTGAAAACTCTAAAATATTGTTTGGTTCTTCGGTCATTCAACTGAGCTTGAAAACACAAAAATTAGAAGTAGTATATACAGGGTGCAACCATAGGGACAAGCACATGTAATGTGCCTCGCAAAATCTTCATTCCAAACATACACACACCGGGCACAGAAACATAGTTTCGCAAGAAGTTTTCTGTATTTTTTTAGAGCTCAACTTGGAGCTAGAAATGCATAGTGGCCCTGCATTTTCTATTTCTTTTACTGAGCTGCTCTTCGACAGCACACTGGTTAGCAAGCTTGTTCCCAGGTGGTACGGTGAACACAAAAACGCTGAGAACGTCGTAGGCAAGGCCGACGACGAGCAGGATAACCACGATAAATAATAACAAATGCATGAACGATGGTGCAGCTTCAGTTCACATTTAGAGACAAACTTTTCTGTTTGATAAAGAAATTGATTCTAAAGCAGATGAATATTTGTCTTATTTTGTCGTCTGTTAGTTCACTTCCCCCTATGCGCCCGCCCACTTGGGAAGTGCGAATGGATAGCAGACGACAAAATGAAACAGACATTCGTCTGCTTTAGAACTAATTTTTTATCAAGTACAGAAGTTAGGTTGCTTCTAAATGCAAATTGAAACTGCATCCTCGTTCATATATTTGTGAAAACCATTATTTTTTGCGGTTATCCCGCTCGTTGCCAGCCCCTCCTTTCATGTTCTCAGCATATTCAAGCTCGCTTGAAAACCATGCAGACAAAGAGCAGGCCGCTGTAGGTCATAGGAAATGCATGGTCGCCCTTTTTGCTCTATTTTTTTCATTTTACCAGCATTAAGTTAAGCTCTAAAACAAAAAAAGATAGACATATACCTTTTCCGCAAGAGGATGTTCGCGTGCCCAGCTTCAGCTATGTATTCTTGGAATTAGAGTTTTGCAAGGCGTGCCAAATGTGTTCGCTCTTATGGCACACCCCGTATGTGCTTTCTGTGACATACACTCTCTATGCCAAAATTTCCCTAAGCTTTAGATTAGATTCCAGTTCACAGCAAAATAGAGGATTTTCCAGTCTTCAGTTTTGGTCCGGTTCAATGTGCTGTCTGGGACACGCATGAAGGGGGTCCAGGCAGGGCTAGTCAGAGACACTCCAAACCAAAATCTATTCAGGAACACAAGTACTTGGGCACAAATATTTTAAGGCCAAAAGACAGATACTGAGATACACGTGTCTCTTGTGTAATGGGATATCCCTTACATTCCTTGAAAATGGCAAAAAAAGCATTCTAAAATACGGATACACACAAATTATTTTTCCCAAATGGTGGAGGCTGGAAAGGGCAGTGCAGTCCGTGGTGAATGCAATTGATAGTGCTTCTGGTTATTTTCTTTGTATCGGTTTATGCCTCGTCCCTTACCTCAGACTCTTCGTCTATTCCCAACTACTACAAAAAAATGCCGCTAGGAAAACGTCGCCTCCAGTGACCCACATGGGTGCTAGGGGCCAACAACTGTCTGCCATGCTTGACAAAAGCTGTCCGCCCAGAACAAACTCTGTTTTGCTTTGAGGGCGCGTCTCAAACTATCATCCTTTTGAGTCGCAGAGAGCGAGGAGATCGAACAAAGCCCAACCTGTCTATACCAGGGAACTTTAGTCCGCACGGAACCTGTCGCGACGTAAGAGGAAAAGAAGCTCTTCTCTACTCAGTGTACGTGATTGGTTTCCTACTCTCCACTCGCCGCCTTTTCAGCGTTTGCTACGCTGAACTGGAAAGAGTGGAGGGCTTTGTGAGAGAAACTTATTCTGCTATTCTTGCAAATAACCTTTCTTAGCACCACCTTTTCTCTTCGTTACACTTTTTCGATACTTGGGCTCTCCCCCTGTAGAGGGGTTTATGCGGTTGGTTTGCCAATAGAAAGGTTTTCGGTTTATCGTAAAATCCTGACAGTTAATTTTCTACAGCAAACGTAACGAGATACCTAAGCCTGGCAGTGTACTGCAATTTATAAGCTCATTTAACATTTCAAAACTTTTGTTTGAAAATTATTTCTCACAAAATGAGGAGGCATTAAAGAAAATTAAAAAAAGCAACCTACCCCTTGTTGGATAGCGTGCACACCTTACACCTATCGAAGACAGAAAAAAAAAATTGGGTGTGTATGTGGAGACATGGCTTCCATAAAATGACAAATTGTGAAAACTTCATCTAGAAACAACTTGGTGACCCATTTTACAATCTGTTCAAATCAATATTTCGAAATTGATATGACTTATTTCACAAAAATGGGACAGATGATAAACGCCTGTCAATCTAAGATACTGTATGGAGTGGACGCACTGCTAGGCCCGTCCGGTTTTAATAAAAAAAAGAGAAAAAAGATGTGTGTGCTTTTCGTTTACCTCAGAGCAGCACATTACACAAATACTCTCCCCTGCCATCTTGTGACACATTTCAGTTGTAGAGTAGATAACGAACCGAGATATGTTTAATGATAAAGTTTAGCTATGTCTTAGCACAATGGGGGTGGGTAGGGTAGCGAGCAGTGGCAACCTGTTCACTGATACACCCCAAGGCTATCTCAGTGCTATTAGTAAATGCTGGAAATAGTGCAGACTTTGCCGATGCACCGCTGACCAAGCTATATTAGTGATACTGCATCACAGCTAAGTTACGTTCCAATCGCTGCTTTTCCTCGTGTTGATATAGCGCACTGTGCTGCATGTGTGAGCCGACCTTTAATGCTGAAATAATCCCCCGAATAGCCAAGGGCATGCGAATATCTATTTGAGCAAATGAAAATGGAAGTGATTACGAACGCCATCCTTTGACATGGCCCCACAATAATTTTGTCTATAATTTTTTTAAGGAACTTTGGGTACGAGTGAATTGGCTCAGTAAGCCTTTTTCAGGCAAGCGCACGTGCAAACGCTACATTTAGCAAAGTTGTGCTCTTTCGCTCGTGTTTTCGATAGCTCAGCGCACAATTTGCGAGATTCTTAAAGACTCAGTAGCGTCTTGGAGATGCACGGTCACAAAATTCGCAATATCGGACAACACTGCACACGAGTGCCGAATGCGGACACGTGTTCAGTTGCCGAGGACTCAATTTCCAGTTGAATGCTGATGCAGTACTCATGCGACAATCTTTGCTTACAACAGCACGTCACCAGAAACTCGTAGGAACCAGCCATGCAACACATTCTGCGTTAAAACTGAAAGCGCCGCTGACTGTCATTGAAGATTTGTCCCCACATGAGGTGCAGAACTTCTGTTAAGGCCATTCCACGTGGCTTAGTCAAACTAGGGTACCTCAACGTACTCTCAGGACGATGCCGTTTTTTGTAGTACCCGATGGCAACAGCACGTGCCACGGCAAATATATACAAAAGAATCTCCGAAAGCAAAATGCCGTCATTGCACTGTCAAGGCCAAGAGCTCATGCAGGGAGATGCTCTTTCATGTGCTCCAAAACAAAAGAAATGAAGACGTCGGGAAGAAAATGGTCAGATGTCGTCACCCTAAGCAAAGCACACGCAAGGGCACACCCAAGTCAAACCAGTTCACTTTTTCGATGACTTGCCTAAAAGCCGTCCAGTTGTGCATGAAACAAGACATAGCAGCTAAGCAAGAATGCAAGTGGTGTTGAATTTTCATTTAAAGAAATGGGAGCGCAGCCCATCTCGAAACGCAACCAAAAGTACATTTTCCTGCACTCTTCTGCAGAGCGTTACTTTTCTGCACCAGGCGTTGGCTGTGCGTGCGACAAAGTACTGTCATAGGCAGAAAGCTTGCACTCATGGCAGAGCACATACAGGGTCCTTAAAGGGGTAGAGCAACGAAAATCTAGCGCCTATTTTAACGTATAAATCTCAACCACGTTCCGGCCACACCACAGAGACAGCAATTTTTGTTCAAAAAGACACAAAAAGATTATTTAAAGCAAATAAACCAATTACCAGATTGGACTTGGTGGATGTTCTCGAATGTCATGACGTCAAACTTCCCATAAAAGCAGCGCCGCTCCGCATATACGGCGACACGCTGCGTGCACGCAAACCATGTAGAACTGGGTTGAACCGAATTTTCCTTCTCTCCCTCTCCCATTCAGCCCCTGCGGAGAGAGTGGAGTTTTGCCACCGCTGACCAGTCCATCTGACATCTCGCACAGCCACGTTGTGACGTGTCGTCGCCACCAAGTGCTAGTCTCGTGCGAATAGTGGATTTTGAGTTTGAAGCGAATAGTGGTTTTGGCCGAATATTTTCGATTCGAATATCGAATAGTTTTTCCACCCATTCACTACTATTTCATTACTATTGCATAATGCTTAGACAAAAACCCAGCTAAACCTGTGAAGGTTATTCCACTTGTTCATTTACAAGCTAAGTTTAATCTATCTATATTTATGAACTGTGGCCTCAGAAGGTCTGATGTCTTGGGATGACAAGTGAATGACGGATTTGACATAAAATCAATCCTATAGAGATGGCAAACTATACCCAATTGAATGAATCTACAAATCTTGCTATACAAAATATTCTTTCTTTAATCTCGAGTTAAAAAAGAATGAATCGCGCATAATGAACACAGGTTGTGAAAGCATCTCTGCCCCCAACATAGTATACTCTTGCATAAAAGTTTAATTTTTGGAACTTTTACTACAATGTAGATATACACATTCACAAAGTTTCCATTTATTTTCAAATACAGTCGGCACGGGTGCACCATCCCGTTTTGGATGCATGTTTTTCTTCCAAGCACGCAATTACGACATTGTTCATCGCGGCGGGTTACCCCGTTAAGTGCGCTTCTTACCGAGCACCGATGTAATGCAGAGAAGCAACACCTGGGAAGCTCACTTTCACGGGTTTGGCTTCTCCGCAGCGGACCGGTGCTAGGTAAGAAGCGCACTCAACGGGGCTAACCCGCCGCAATCAACACTTCGAAAAACGCGAATAGTGGAGTTCTTTTCGAAGCGAATATCAAATAGTGTATTATTCGGAACTACTATTCAAAATTTCGAATATTCGCACAACCCTATCAAGTGCAGAAGCTCACAACCGTGCCAGCCTCCTGTAGCCTTGCCCTTGAAGTTAAACATGACGTCACGAATGAGCTGAAGGCACCGGATCTCCCGAGACGCATCATGCTCTCCGACGGCTGCTGTTGGAGAGCTTGCTGAAATCAACTGTTTGGAACGAAAAGCGTAGCCATCCGTTCAAAATACAAACGTGCGACTGACATTAACAAATTTCGTTGATCATGCTTTTAACTTATTTCTGAGCACGAGAAGTAGATTTCAAATTTAATTTCGGTATCCCTTTAATTTGTCTCCGACTATAGCTGCTCGTCTGTTTCCTTTAGAATCTTGTTTTAAACAGGGAACCCAAGAAATGAACACCTGTCGTTCTCTGCAAGCGAACAAACAAACAAAGCACCACATTTCCTCCAAAAACGTTATCCTCCCGACGAAGCCACACAAATGTAAAAAGTAGAAACCGCATCTTTATTTAGAGAATAGCGTCCAAAAAAATCAGCACATGCCACACAGCACACTATTTCATGTACAGCATCACGCAATAAATAAACACCAGCTAAAAAGTAGAAGAAAAAAAAGCTGTGCCATCAAATTGAATTTTTCCGATGCCAGGGCTATTAATTTTGTCGAGTTTTTGACTGACTAGTGCTCTTTTGTAGCTACAGAAATGTGCTCCCGTCAGAATGCACAAAAAGTCTAAAAATACAGATAATATTTTTTTTTGTCAAATCATGACGATTAAAAGGAAGAACCCATAAAAAAAAAATACTTGTTCATGGTTGTGTCCTATGCACATCCTTTCATGCCTTGAGATATAGACACAATAACTTGTTCCCAAAGTTCGGTAGCCACCACAAGATAGAAGCATTGCAACATTTTTGTTTTCCCGCAGCAGAGATCACATATGCCTTTCAAAGAAATCACTAGCCACAAGGAAAAGAAAAAAAAAAGAATGGAATGCAAGATAATTTATACTGATCGAATGCCTATCACGCCCCTCCAACAGCAGTCAATCTTAGTCTGTTTTCTATTCAAGTCCAATGCTTATCTCTCAACACACCCAATGAGAGATGGAGCAGAATTCTGCATAGAACAGAGTTGAGCATGTCAAGTTGCTGTGCCCTTGTAAGTAGGAAAATACATTAAAAAGAAACATTTCTTATCACTCATTTTCATTGAATCAAACTACGTTTGCTGTTCGATACTCAGGATTTCCTCTTGAAAACTGGCCTCAGACTACACTTGAGACATTATAAAACGTCCCAATCTGTGCATCTTAATTTCTTCAAAATATATTTTTTTCTCATTCTATTGCATTGAGCTAGCTCCGAGAATCATCATATAGTAAATTCTTTTTTTGTCTTTTCACAGCAAACGGAGTGATCAGCCCAGTGATAGTGCCGACATAGAAATATATATTCATAGCATAGTGGTCAAAACCGCTAGTGGTACCAATAGCTCGAATTCACATATATGATCCAAAATGGTTACACCGGAAACTAAAATCGACAAAAAAGTCTTAGTATAGCCAAGCGGCCTTGCCAGTGCACAAGGGCACATCAATGAAAGATGCAAGTATAGTTTTAAGCTTTTTTTACAAAGTGGTATTACCTAGGCTACAGAACGATTAACTTAAACCTATAACATTTTTTATAAGCTGCACACTACACACTCTCCAAGGCTCACCGCTCAGGTCTAGACATAAAACAAAGTGTTAAAAAAAAAAGTATCGCCCTTAGTACCAGACAACCCTTAAATGGCAGATAAGAAGAAAACCTCAGACGCTAAGGCACTGTCACAGAGACCCCAAGGTCCCCACCATAGTTAACCCGACAAGCCCCAGTCTCAAATACCTACGACCACAATCACTCCAGAAAAAGGTACCTCACTGATAGGTAAGTTTACTAGCTGTCATCTTCACACCATAACTGTGCTCGGGGTTAGCCACAAGAACAAGAATACAAACATAAACAATCTAACAAACAATAGCGACGGCGCAAACACAATTAAAAAAAGGACTATTTCTGCAGAGTCATCCAGCAGAGAGCATCGAAGCCTGCCCACTCCCCTTAAGCCAAAAATTCTGAAAATGAAACCTCGCCACTCCCTCAATGGATGCATCCTTATAAACACGGAACCTTCGCAACGGCGTCAACAAACTATCACATCTTTGTCAAAGCTGTCGCCACGCTGGCGCGGCGGCGTCGCGTCAATCGTGCAGAGACATGCCGTTAGGAAAAAGAAAGAGCGCAGAGTCCTTGCAGCCGTTACCGCGTGTGTCGGGAGAACGTCTTGAGACAAGGTAGCGGTGGCAGCAGCGCTGGTTGAGCACGGACTCACGCATACACACATGCACACTGTGGAAGTAGAGAGTCCCGAAAGGGAGCCGCGGCGGCCTCATTTCTCCGCCTTGCGCTTCCTCAGCTCCTGGTTGTCTCCGCTCTGCTCTTCCGTGTCGTCCACGATGTCGTCTTCCTCCTCATCCTGCAAGATGGTGTCCGGTTGAGCACACCAAAATAGGGCTTAACTACAAAGCATGCCTCTCGGGAAAAAGTATAGAGTTCAATACGGTTAACAGGAACAAGCGATCGACAGTTTTCCCCGTTTTACGGCGACTGCCGTCATTGGCGAGCAAGGTTCCACGGCAGATCCCTGGGTGCCTTTCCTGGGGCTCTTGGTTGGACGCCGGGCAAGAAAGTCGGCGAGGTCGCCACGATTTGCCGATCACAGCCAAGGCGCCGCGATTTACCAGCCAATCGATTTACCAGCCAATCGTGGCGGTCGGCAATCGTGCCAAACTTTCTTGTTGAGCATCCAAACTCGGAGATCCCGGAGAAACAGCGTCGCAGAAAAATCACTCCGCTAAATTTAGCGGGAAAATTTCCTTGCGGATTGTCATGGCGTCATGCGACATCGTGATGTCGCTTGACATCACAGTTAAGACTCTGTTATACTCCGACGTAACGCGTGCGCGCGTCACAGCGACGTCACGTCGGCGAAAACCCGACGCTCTATACTCCGGCGTCGTGGCGTAACTGGCACGTTCGACGCAGCCTGACCGCCTCGACACCAAAATAGAGCATGCCGTATTCTGCGCCAGCGACGCCAGACCAGGATGCATCACGGTAGCCCTCGCAGCGAATACGAGCAATAGCAGACGATGGGAGCACCCCTCCGTGCGGCGTCATGTCTGAAGAATTGGACGTCTCGGTCGTCGAGAAGCTGATCGAGGGAATTTGTCCTCACTCGCGTGTCTACGACACGAGGAAGCTTGAGTACCGTAGACCGTGCGCTTGTCAAAGATGTACCGCATGTACATTGACCGCCTACGCTTGCGGGGCAGGCGGTGCACCAACAGTGCAAGCGCGAGTTTTCGTCGTGCAAGGTACGTCCACGCCATTGCTCGAACTTGGCGCTCAAGAAGCGCGAGGATTCTCGTCTGCTATTCGAAACGAAAAGGAACCGGAAATGGCGCACTCTCGCAGGAAACGCGCCCTCGTAGCCAGATTCTGCGCATGCCCCGCGCCGGCGGCTCACCGACGTGCGCTGCGGAAGTCGCCAGGGCTGCCGGAGTATAGAGAGGGCGAATTTTTGACCCGCGCGGCGTGACTGACGTGACGTAGCCGACTTCGGCCAGCGTTCGCTTGCGCGCGCGTTACGACGGAGTATAACAGAGCCTTTAGTGTGCAGTACGATTCTGTGCAGCCCGTGTGCGGCAGAGTGTGCGGAGCCTTGGCTCTCGCCATAGTTCACTTGCAAGACACGGCAAGAAACCAGGAACTTTTTCCTGGGCGTGGAAACCTGTCATGTAAACGACAGTGATGTCACTTCAATGGTGCGCCATATGATGACTGCGACATCAATGCCAGAACGCGGACACTTAGCAAGGGGTGCAAGTTCGGCGAGCTCTTCAGTGAGGGACCAAAGATGAGTGCAGCTGCGAGGGTGAAGGAGTTTTGAGAGTTCGTAGTCGCAGGCTAGAGTGTCCGGGAACGGCCATCTTTTTTTTTCATTTTGAGTTGGATGTGAGCGAGTCAGCTCCACCAAAAATGCCGACCCCAGTCAACAGTCCTCAAACGTAAGCCGAAGTGCCGTTACCAGTTCAGAGTTTGAACCCTGAATTGCACCAGTATATATGGAAGGAACCTTTGCCTTGGGACTGGTTGCCTTGGGACTGACTAGTTTGTGTTCCTTAGGCCTACCTAGTGCATGCTCCCAAAGTGCAGCCCATTAGCCCCTGTGCTTTCGAGAAACCAAGAGTGTGACTATACTTTGTTTCACAATGACTTGGCGAACTGAGCAGGCTACAGCACCCCGACTCAATAAGAGCACCGAAGGGAGGCACGCGGCACCACGTCACGGGAGTGTGTGTGTCACTGCGCCAAGGAACCAGCTGCCTTCTGCTACGAAACCAACCAACTTCTAATGAATGTCCACGGCTGCAACCATAGAGTTATTGTAATGTACGCTCGAGGTTCAACTGGCACTTGTGGGCCGCGGCAAATTGAAGCAGACAGAAAACAGTCGGAAATTGACTTCTGGTAATGCATTCCTGTGGGAAAAAGCGAGTGCAGTTTCTCCATGCAGTCGATTATAAGAGTAATTATCATAAATAATTCGTACGTACTAGGTAGATTGGAACATTTCTCAGTTACGCAGACGAAAAAATTGGTCGGCTATGGCGTTTTTGTTTTAAATTTGTGGCATGAAAAACGGTGCTAAAACCGTTTCATACATGTATTATGTGCACTGTCGGACACTGTTAGCGCGAACAAAGCGTCGGCGCTTTCCAGCATGGGGGATGACGTGCCAAACGAACGAAGGACATGTGGAAAACCAAGACAGATGCCAAGAACTATGCAGTGACACTGGGTAAGCAACTCCTTGCAAATGCAGACAATCAAAATAAATTGAAAGCCAACTAATATAATCCAATTTGCAATGAATAAGTACTGCTTTGCTCTTTCTGCTGATGATTATGCATGAAGATGCTTGCTCTGCGTTCAAAACATCACCTGCATGCTTGAAATATTTCAAAATAGGTAGAAGCCAGAGAACAGGTTTCCGCATACTTTATTTTTTAAGTTTCAAATGTTTTTTAACTGCTCATAAAGATGCACGACGGAGTCATTTGTATATAGTGACAGGACGGGCATATTAGCAACATATAAGCACTACTGGAACATTGGTAAACCTTGAACAGACTCTACATTCCTTTTGATTGTTATTTTACTTAGAATCGTCACTCATTTTTACATACCTACCATGGAACAGAGGTTTGGGTGTGATATACATAGAACTTTAACATCGTCCAGTGGCAAAGAAAAATGCTGTAACTAAAGCAATTACACTTTTACAATGTTAACAAAGGTGCATACTATTCAGTACAACACAAATAAGAAAAGTTATGTATGTTATTTTCCAGCGAAGAGACAAAATGCACGCACGTTTTCCCATAGGAATGCACAGGAGCACCGAAAAAGCAGACTGGTTGCTGTGTGCTTCAATTTGCCTCCCGGAAGTTGCATAGACGCTAGCGCGAATTGAACCTCTAGCGTACATTATAAGAACTCTATGGTTGCAACATTGCCATCCACTAGAGTAGCAAGCTCTTCAACAACAGTTCACGAGACAACCATTTTGCTTAATTTACCTGCCGATCTGTGTCAGGTGCTAATGCCAGGGCTATATTTTGAGCGGAAGCGGTGAATTACACGGCTGAGATCACCAACGGCCACGGCGCTACAGGAAAAAAATCTCCCAGATGTGGCGTTTCTTTTTTGTTTAAATATCATTGAAGCTCATAAATCCATGAATATTTATTTCTTGTTCTTTATATGTTCTCGATAGAGATAAAATCGCGCGAGTCCAATCGCCGTCAAAAGGAAAAGAAACCTAGAACTACTTTTTGTCGTGAACGTCGCCACGCTCAGGCGGTAATGAGGCCTCCAAGGTCTCTACCATGAAGTGTCATCATGTGACTTGCTTCGACGCTCTTATTAGGTCCTCGGGGCCGCAGCCTCCACAACTTGCCAAGTTATTGTGAAACTGAATATAGTGTGCGGACAAAGTGAAGCCGTCCAATTAGGAGGTGGCCCAGAGAGGAAGAGGTAGACAGAGAGGCACGTACGGACTTGTTGCTGCCCTCCGAGTCGTGACCTCCGTCACTCTTGTGGCCGTCATCTTCGACCTTTGCCTTCTTCGAGAGAGGGTAAACTGGAAGCTTCGGTGGGAAAACCGCATCGATGATGAACACGATCAGCTGCAACAGAAAAGTCGTCCTAGATATTAGACACCAAAAGCAGTTCACGCCGGTGTTTGCCCGTCTTCCTTTACTCTGCTCATGTTTCTGCGCTGCTTGTACCTTTGACATCACATGCACTAAACGTGGTGAAACGTAAAAGAAACCGGCAGCTATATATTTTGATCCAGCGATCGAACTGCGACGCACGAGAAACGGTGGGTTTTCGTGACGCTTTCTACCGACCCACTAAATAACCGTACCACACCGAGTGTCACAGTCACAGGACATCGTGATGCCGAGCGATGTCACGTCGTGTCTCTCCCCATGGACCCTTTTCAAAACACAATCCAGCGACACTGGTGGTCGCCATTACTTGGGAAAAAAGCATGCATTTGGATCCGAGTCCTCGCCAAGTGCCCACATAGACCTTGTTTTTGATACGGGTAGAGTCAAGTTCATGGCAAACGCTGGCACAGCCCCCGTGCTCAAAGTGCGTGCCCAAACGATGGAGGACTCGGATAATTTGCAACAGCAGTTACTAGGTGGCGCACACTTGAATCCATTTCTCGTTCAAGTTGAGATACTTCTAGAGAAACCTGCAGACGGTTCCTCGGGAATCCCAGACTTACTAGGCCGAGCAGTGCGCCGACCACGACCGTGCCGAGAGCGAAGAGGATGTAGGAACCCCAGTAGGGAATGCCATAGTAGTCCACCAGGGTGGTGTGCAGGCCCTGAAAGAAAGCAGACACCGCAGGACACGCTGTAGCAAACAATGTGCTTGAGAAGCAACTTCTTTCAGTCTTTCTCTACAATCCGAGCGAAATCTCCACGGACGACATTCACATTCGGTATGGTCAAAATATCTGAAAAGCCAATTCAAGGTATGTCGGCCGCCACTAGAACGCTGCTCGAGCTTACACCTTGTACCTTGCACCGTGCTACACGGGGGGGCACATCTGCAAACCCCTAGTGCTGTTTCCATTATTCCCAAAAGACCACCACTTCAAAATATCCAAAGCCCAGCAACATATGCAAAGGAAATGGTAGGTGCTTTGACGGCAAAATTTATGCGTTATCGTTAGTGCCAGGCACGAGCACCTGCTAGACCACGACTCACGCAGCTATGGTAGCTAGTGCTTCGGTTGGTACGGGACACCCTATAGACCGCTGCAATAATTGCCCACCACACACTGCCATCTTTGTTTACTGAGCTACGGAATGCGTTTTGGGCCATGGAATGCGTTTTCACCCTATCAGGTGGACATCTTGCTCGCAATGTGGTGTTTCTCCACAAGTTGCTCAACTCAATTATAAACTCTTCCCTGCTACTCAGTAGAATCTCATTCCACGTCCCCCCAACGACAAAGCAGATCCTCTTTTTTACCCTTTTGAGTTAGAATCCAGACCTCCATTCACGCGCATGCAGCTATGTACGACACACTAACTCTAACAAGGACGTCTTCACCAACTCTGGAAAGTGCAAGAAAAGTGTGCCATTAATTTTTCCTCACTAGTTATACACATCTTTTTGCCTCATATTCTTCTTTTGCCTACCAGCTATTTGGGGACCCAATCAAAACGCACGATTGACCGATTGTGCAGGTGCAGTAGCTCTCGTCTGCGGACTATCGGACGCCACGTATAGACGCTTTACACACGCGCCAGATTGAGCCGCCATAGCCGCCCTTCTCTTGTCTTACTGAGATGCCGAGCCACTGAAGCGGGCGTTGACGGGTCTTCACAAGGGCCTATGCTGGGCACAAGAACACAGTAGCATCTAAAACGGCAATAACCTGTCCTGCTGTGGTAATGATGAAGTGAAGCGAACGGAATAAGACTGAACAAAAACTGGAGGTCAGTTATGGCGGCGCCCATGCACAGCTGCTGTAAAGCGTCTATATGTCCGCGGCTCGGCGACTCTGCGTTTTTTGTCTGGGTGATGAGCACTGGAAAGGTGTACAGTGTCTCGTGCCAGCATTGTGATGCAGGAGCAGTGATTACTCATTAATCATTATGATGTCATTGTGGACCACATTAAAACATTTTCTCCGAGAAAACCTGAAATGATGACGGCAGAAAATGGCCCCGTGTCCAGCTTGATGACTGATGGCCAAAACATTTTTTTTGCTGGAGCAGCATATCTAAAACAGAGAAAGTGGGTTCATACCCGAACTGCCATGGACAGCTTGAAGAACTGAGCCACAAGTGACATCCTGCAACGAGAAATACGCTATCTTGACGCTCGAAACCCAAAAGTTTTGCACAACATCAGACCAGCCAGTCCTGGAAGCTTTGAAACACACCAGACACGGCTAGGTTGTATGCGGGGTGCACGTTGTGGCAACTACAATTAAAGAAACATCATGTGCTCATCACAAATCTATCAACTGTCAAAAAAAAAAAAAAAAATCCATTGTCTTGCTACATTTGCAAACAAAAATTTAGAAAGGAAAGATTAAAAACAAGCAATTTTCTCAGCATAAAGTGCCACCAATACGAGCAATTAGGATACTTACTGAGTCCCATTCGGGTGCTCATGTCCAGAGCATCCACGACGACAGCAATCAATTCCAGACACGTTGTAACCATTTACGACCACAGGCTGCTACAACCAAGAGCGACGGGCACTTGCTGTTAGCAATTCAAAGAGCGGGATCGAATTGAAAAAAAGAAGGCACAGAGTTTCTTCACGTGACGCTCATCTCTATAAACGAAACAGAAGTCGGATGTCGCAGTCGTGGTTAATGCAAATGTTGGAGCGATCAAAGTGGAAATTGGGGGGATACGGGCCCAACTACTAGCAAAGAACACCTGGCACGTCCCAGCAGAGGACCAAGGACTAACTTCCACCACCCCAGGTTTCTCTCAACGTGCAATCGACACTTCCTTTACATGACGCTTTCTCTGCAACAGGCCTCTGTCAGGTTGCGGGAACCAATGGCCGGGATTGGAACCAGCCCACATTGCCTCGAGGTCGCCGAGAATAACGTCGAAGCTGGCCATTACTTGTCCGCCCACCACTTTAAATGCGAACGTTTGTGTCCAAAGCAACGCTCATCTTATCGGTTTCTAAGAGAAGGGCTACAGCATGCGCTGCCAAACCTACTGGATCGACTGTGGAGCTTTCCAGGAAGAGACAGACTCCAGGGTTTGCCACTTCTTCTCCTCCACAAAGTTGATGAACGACTCCTTGTCCCTCGACCCACGGTACTGCCTGAACACTCCATCCTTCACGCTGCGCACGTGCAGAAACAGAAAGGTGAGTATGTCACGCTGGCAAAAAGGAACCAAAATGGCACCAATGTGTACTAGGTTGCCTCCATGTTCTCGGATGTAGTACCCAAAGCCAATGGCAAGTGCTCGCGAGAAAAATACAAAGAACTAGCTTGAAACTATATTCTGGCATACCACAACCAATGCTAAAAACAAGTACTTCACTAGGGGTGAATACTGGATAATCTGCACAAATACAAATAATTTGGAAGCGATAGGTTTTCAATCCAAGCACAAAGCCAAGAGGTGGCACTAGCAGACGCAACAATAACCTGGACAGTTCAGAGTTTTTGTATTTTGGCAAAAGTATAGAATGTTCTAAATCAATGGTTTATGTCCTCCGACGCCAAATATGACATGTCACTGGCAATGCTGGACGCACTGAAGGAACAGAAGCGCTTCTTACGGGCCAAATTTTCGTCGCAATAGCTGGCGTCATTTCTTGATTTGGTGTCTAATAGTTCTCTCTTGCAAGCAACAAAGATGTCCAGTATTCCCCTAGGGAAGTATTTAGCGAAAAGCTCATACCGGGAGCCGCTCTCTCACAAACTGCCGAGCAAAAAAAAAAAAGTGTTTTTGAACATGGTTTGACGTCACCACCCTGAACAAAGCCCTCTCGAAGGCACCCTAATGTGCATTATGCGTGCATAGAAATCTCTAATGCTGCACAAATTTTCATTTTGTTTGCAAGCACAATTTTGCTTGTGAGAAAAAAGTATTACGGAACAAGAATGTAATAACTTACTGATATATGGTGGGAAGTGCTGTCACCATAAACCTTCCACTCAGCCCTGAAAGAGGAAAGCCGACGCTGTATAGAATGCGTGGACTCGCCGTCGAGTTGTTGAATCCGTCGACTCACCTGGGTTGGCAGTCACATCAATATGGGCTACTTTCACGCCCAGATCCTTGCTCCAGTCCGAAAAGTCCTTCCAAATTGGTCCAAGTGCTTTACAGGCAGGGCACCAAGGTGCGAAGCTGAGAAAAAAAAAAAAATTGGAGCACGCTACACGGACCGAACAATGAAGTTAAGTCTGACGGATAGTGCCAAATTTTCGCAACTCTGAGACGGTCCGTGGCTACAATCACAGGATCCGATCTCAACTTCGAACATCGCAGTGCTCTGTCAATCTATGACACACTGCTCCTTCCCAATCGTTTGAAGATATAGCCTTCTCAAAGTTGCTTTCTTTGGCCACCAGCCGCGCAAACTAGCAGCCTACCGAGGCGCTCCCTGTGCGCTGTCCTGAGGCTATGCGGAGTGCAAGTTCGTCTGCTCCTTGAGCAGGGGTTGCGGTGACGTCAGAACGCCGAGCTCCGATTGGCTCCCATTGGAAGAATAGTGGGTAGACCTCAAGGCAGCTAGCATTGAGTTCTACCCACTACCCCTCCATCAGAGCCTATCAGAGCTCGACGTTCTGGCGCACCCCTGTGCAAGAAGCAGACGAACATTGCGCTCCGCATAGCTAGTGACAGGATGAGAATGGCAGGGCCTCTCTTTCGGACCTTCCAGGGCGCGCTCGTTAGGGCCTTCCGCCGTGCTATGGCTGCGAGTGCACGATCGAAGCTCGCGTTAAAGGCGGGACAAGTGAAAAACCCCCTTGCCGTTCTCATCCTTTCAGTGACAATAGACTTTCCGTGCCAAATGTCATACGAACGGGGCGTTCCAAAAAAACAAGATCTTTCCAAAGCGAGACGGCAAGGAGGCCTGAGAGCAAACCGAAAATAATCTACTATATCTTAAAGAGGAAAGGAAACACTTGAACTGAATGCACAGAAAAACAAAGTAACCCCTATCAAACGCATAGCTCAGCATCCAAGATAAAAGTCAGGAGCATGCGTGCCGCAGGCGGACCCTTGAACTCCCGAAGGCAATGGATTTGATACAACTTACAACTCCACCATCCATTCTCCTTCCAAAAGTTGCTGCCAAGAGTCCTCGTCGAGTTCCACGAGCTGCGCCTGGGTGCTTGCGTGGGAAATCGGAGATAAAACGAGCAAAGCCAAAATTGTCGACACAAATGAGAGAGTCGCCATTTTTGAACAGTGGGATTCGTGGGATTGGTCGTACGTGCTGCACGGCGCTTCCGTCGGGTGGCGCGAAGTTGCTGCCCACTAGCGGCGTCTTGTGTCAAATATTGGAACGACAGCTATTTATGAAAATTCGTATTCCTACATTTGCCTGTGAGAGTACGAAAGTTTAAAAAATAACAAATCGTAAGGAAGGATTTTATGATCAGTGGTTGATGGACGTGATAGAGCCAACATAAAGCCAAACATCCCCCTTGCATAAAGCCAGCCAACATAGCATAAGACCAAAAGTCAAAACAAACAAGATGGTGCCTTTCCATTTCAGGCTGCTCCAGTGTGCCTCCCGCCTGTCCTTGTGAATGCATTCGTTGCCTGTCAAGTTGCTAAAGTCGACTTTTCTCCGAACACGGGGTTCGGAAATGCACTCGTGCGTGCAAGCCTAAAAATCACTTCGACGACGTAGGACATCGCTTCAAGAATGGTTATGTGCTGTGTGCCCCGATGCCAGTCGGAGCAGGGCAAAACGAGCGTGTCATTTCACCAGTTCCCCGTTGACAACAAGCTGAAACTAAAATGGATCGCAGCCATCACGCACGGCGACCCCCCGACGTTCCGGGCTTTTCATTGCACCAAGGTTTGTGGTCTTCACTTCCGCAAGGACGACATTTTTACGCACGGTTCATCGAAGAGACGCGTTCGCGCGGGCGCGGTGCCAACTTTGTTCCTGCCGAAAAACGGCGCGTCCGGGCCCGACCACAGTACATCCTCGTCCCAGCAGCCTTTCCCGGTCAAGTTGACCGCTTCTGCAACCAGGTCCGATGAGTGTGCACCCTTGTTACACCAGGCCGTCGTTTCCGTCGGTCCCGCCGCTGACTCCGCAGAAACCATCACTCCCTCCATGGAACACGGATGTTCTTTGACTGTCCTTCCTAAAACGATCAAACGGGAGATCACCGAACCCGTCAATTCCGCGACGGAAGTGTCCTCGAGCGAATCCGCCGAGTCCATCCTCCCGTTGATGGAGCCCAACACCCTGAAGGTGGAAGTTCCGTCCATAGCCCTTCCTGTCGCCACCAGTAAAGCATTTCATTCATCCAGTGAGTCCGTGTCGGGGAACGATGAGTCAGCCGCTGTGCCGACTGTGCCTCGCGAGTCCTGTACAGTTGTGCAGCGCGCTACTGGAATCAAGCGGGGTGTCCAGTTTCAGTTGCCGTCGTCTATTAAGAAGGCCTGCCTCTTGTATGAGACAAAGCCGGGTCAATGCAGGTCGCTCGGCGTGACCACGGGGGGTAGGAAAGTGTACTACCCGCGGCAAGTGAGCACAAAGAGCTCCGGCGTTCAGGTCGACTCCCTCCACGACGAGCTCAGGGAGTGTCGCAACCTGTTGGCTCGGGCGGAACGCGAGAAAGACGACCTCCGAAAGCAGGTGCTGCGAGCTGAGACTAAACTGGTCACTCTGGACAGGGACCCAACGTACCAGGCCTTTCGGGCAGTTACGAATGCCGCGTCGTCCTGGGATCCGAGGTACCAGGCCTTCGGGGCGGTCACGAATGCCGCTTCGGCGCAGTTCATCCTCGACCAGCTGCTGAGCTTCAACAAGGAGAGGCCCACCTGGCACGAGAGCACCGTCAGTCTCTGCGCCACGTGGCGGCACGTCGACCGCAAAGGCTACGAGCACGCCCGTGCCTGCGGCCTCCTCAGCCTTCCGAGTAGCGCCACCCTCGCTAGGTACAACCTGCCGCCGTGACCTTCGTCTCTACCTTGAGGAGTGGTCGTCATCCTTATGAGACTTGGCTCGGCTGGCTTGGTCGTGAAGACTGTCCCAAACCTGCTTGGAGAACTTGAGTTCTGGCACTGCCGTGCAGTTGTTACGTCACCTTCTGTTGCTGTATTAATTGCCCAATAAACCGGTGCGCCGAGAAACTGAGACAGAGGAGGAGACGAGAGTGCGCGCGGACGTCAGAACGCCGAGCTCTGGTTAGAATGATTGGGGGGTAGACTTTAAACTAGCTTCCATTGCCTCCACCGTATTCGCCGAATGCATTCGAATGTGAGAGCCAAATGCCGGACGCTGGCTTTCTGTCCACTAACGCGTTTGATGAGTGCAGTGGAGACAAAGGCTGCCTTTATCTCCACTGCATTCGTTGAAGTCATTAGGAGAATACTAAAGCAAAACGCCAGATGCCGGCGTCCCGCATTCGGACGCATTCGACGAGTACGGTGGAATCAAAGGCCGCTAGCTTTAGGCCTACCCTCTAATCGTCCTAACCATAGCTCAGCAATCTGATGTCCTAGCGCACTCTCGTCTCTTTCTCTCCCTTAGTTTCTTGGCACACACAAGTTAATGTGTGTTTTGCCAGGCGTTTTGTTGCTCTTAATTGGGGATGCGCACTGCTGTGTTGCTTGTAATTGGGGGATTCGTGCCGCAAACCTGCTGAGGTTTTACCGAGTTCAAATTTTTTAAACTTTGAACACAAAGTTCAAGAAAAGTTTGATAGAAGTTTGACTATCATGCACATGTGCAGAAATTGGAAATCAGCAGATGTCGCTTGACGGAGGAAGGTAACAGGCTAACTAAATCACTAAAAGATTTTATGTTCGCCCTTTTTTGTATAAGCACAGCTAGTAGTTCTTTTTAATTTAGAATAAACTTGCCGTAAAATACCGTGGCGCCCACTTCGGCCAATTACCCACTGCCGAAACTTGGGAGTTCTGCAAATTATATGTTAAGCACCCACCCCCTCCAAACCAGGGGCATCAGCCGAAAATATTCACCCTGTTGAGGCAGATAGCATGTGAAAATAAATGTGCTTTCTCCGATTCCGTTCATCCTGCCTTCAAAGCTCTTTATTGGCTGCCTTCTTGGTTTTTACTGATTTGAGAGGAAAAGCGCCCATACCTAGAATAACCCAGCTTTAAGTGAAAATGGGGTGGACACCTCCCTCGTATTTTATGGTATGTAGAAATGATCGTTTTAACAAAATTTGAAATGTTTGCGTTAAAGTCAGGTAACACTGTGTAAAAGTTGAGCTTTGTTGAATTTTGTTATATGTTTGAAGGTTTGGTGAACTATTCCAGGTTCAACATTGAGCCTTGCTGTTCTTTGCATCACCTGCATATGCACATTCAAATAGCGGAAGTGGGTAGCCAGGGTAGAGGCTTGAGATAGTACATGACATACAGGAGAGGTTACAGGCAAATGTTTGTGTAGTAAGTATGAGTTACACTCGAGACATATTAGGAGAGAAATTTCTATGTTTTCTGTTCAAACTGACTTCGTATCGGCTTGGACAAAAAGTACTGGCCTAGGGATTCCCAGTTGGAAGATCTGCATTTCTTCATTATTCTGGGGCATCATTTCTCACGAGGTACAAACATATTCTTTTACAGCGAAGCTGTTAAGGGCTAGTTTCCCCAGTACTATGTCCGTGGGCAAACAAATGGCCACACTAAACTCTGGACAGCTACCGCCATTTATGAGCGACGGCGGCAACCAGATAACCAGCTTGCCGGTTGTCTGGTTGCCGCTGTCGCTCATAGATGGCAACTTTTCCAGCCTTTCCACTCTGGCTCGCCGTCTTGCGGCCGGCCATTACTTCATTCCCCACCATAGCACAGCTTCGCTGGTCTTCCTTCTTCACCAGGGTGGAAAAGCTGAGTTTCATCTTGAATTATGTGAAAGGGATGCATGAAATGCACAACCAATGACTTCAATCACTTCAGTGGCCTAACCAGTCGTGATCTTTTTGGATATCCTGGTACTGTCTCGCAGGATGTCTAAGACATCTTTACATGGCAGTGTGCTGTCACTAAGCTGAATACCCCCAGGAAACCATGTGGCCTCCATCAGAATTTACGGTGATTGATGGCTCGGGCTGCAAAACCCAGGGATCATGGGTTCAACGCGCCTGTCCCTGCCCGTTTCGATTTGTATGAGCATCGTACCGGCGTGCGGTCGTGCATTACTACTGTGTGATGCACGTTAAAGGGGCACTTAGTTGTATTTTGAGATCGTCTTGGCGCGAACTCAACGTATTCGACCTAAGCATCTTATAAGAACCAAAGTTACAACCCCCCAAACGATGTTTTTTTTTTCCAGGCAATTTAATATGGCGTCAGAGGCCTACCGAATTAATATTTTGCTACAGAGTCACGTATATTTTTAATAAAGCCAAGAAACGCAACTGCTCGAAACCGAAACCCGCGCACGAAGGTCGGAGAGCGCCGGGAGCCACGTGGCAACACCCGACCGCGCTTTTTTTTGGCCGCGCGCAGCAGACGCCATTACAGCGTTCGCAGTTATGTTTGTTCCGCTCGCTCTTCTGTTCTTCAAGATGAGTTGTTTTGTACGTTGAAGAGTTGGGAATAAGTAGTGAGTGCCCGTAATGAATGCCCGTGATCGGCTCCGAAAAGAATGACCCCATGATGTTGCATGCCTCACAGGTTCTGGATCCAAAAGTGACATTGTGCGGCAGAGTCTGCACAAGTTTCCGAAAGGTCAAAGGGATCGGGACCAATGGCTGGCTGCAATTCCTGTGGAACAGTTACGGGCACCTCGGAAAGCGGCCGCTACTCGATTTATATGCTCCTTGCATTTTGTGGAAAATTGCGGCTACGTCAGAATTAAGTATGGTATCACTCACGCGAAATGTGTTGACATAAAAGCGGAACAAGGGCTACAGCCAGGGCGGAGAGTGAAAATCAAGATGGCTTAAATCGTGATTTAAATCAGACCGGTTTTGTAAGGATGATTTAAATCAAACCTTGCCCCAAAAATAATCACTAATATAGATTTTTTTTTTCTGTTTTTTCTTTATTATTCGATGTTGTCTATATGGCCATATATCCTTTATTTAAATCAAAGGATCATCACACAAGAAAGATTTACACCGGACTGAACACGAGAACAATCAGTAGCCTTCGAAGCAAATCGATGCGTTGAGCTTTATTTCTACCCCCGACTTCGTTTGTCAGTTACGTCACATCTTTTTTGCAATGAGATCAGAACGCAAAGTATAGAAACGAAAACGGAGGAAGTACTGTCGCAATGCAAACAAATCAGATTGCGAAAAAAAAAAAAAAAAAAAGCCAATACAGCTTTTTCGCTAACAAAAAAAAAAAAAAAAAAATAAGCTGTTTTTGTTCCAGTACGGCGGAGTTTTCATGAACAAAAACGTTGTTAAAATTGCAGTAATTCTTTTTTTTTTCCGCATTGTTTTCACTGGTCGGAAGAATTGATCAAACAACCTGCTGTGTTTAAAAATGCATATAGCGATAAATATTCAATATTTTCTAGCTACAGGGATATTAGTCTGACTTTAATAAAATAAATCTAACTTTATTTATTTATGTATTTACAGCAGAGCGACTTGATGTGAGGTGTGTACACTGTCAACCGTAAACAAACGAATAACCTTTTTTTTATTACATTTTTGTGATTGCCATCAAAACTACTAGTGCGGTGGAAATTGCTCATTCGGGGCACAAAGTTATGCGATAAAAGTTTGACGCTGGTCAACCCCATCTCTAATGGCGAATTCCACAGGTCGTTTTGGAGCGCGCCGGGATCGACTTTTCTGGAGCGAGCCTATTTCACTGGGCGGTCGGGATCGAGACCGACGTGTTTCACTGGTCGTTTTGGATTAGCTCCCGCTCCAGATCTCGATCTGGATCCGAGAAAAGTCGCTCCCACGATTTCGGTGGATTCAACCGGAAGCCAGCCGGGCCAGCCCTCAGCGCACACACGTGACTTCCTTTCTCGTGGGGCATCTCGCTTCGCGCTAACTCTGTTGCATGGTGTACCGCCTGCGTGAGAGAGGCGCCTAAAACCTTGGTAGCACTACGGATTTTATATATTAATTCGAGGTGAGCTTTTCTCCGGACATGCTCAAAAGTGAGTGAACTTTTCTCCGGTGAGCTTTTCTCCGGACCCGAACAAAATTGGGTGAGCTTTTCTCCAGTCAGATTTTCGCCGGGATTCGACATTTAGACAGTGTAATAGGCGCTAGAATTTCGTTGCACGCGGTAGCCCTTTAAGTTATTGTGCTAAGCACAAACATTAGCTAAATTTTCTATCTAAAAGTTTTCAAGAAAAGCAACTTTGTGTAAATATTTCTGTCCAACGTTTTTTACAACAGCCTTCTAAAAAATCATGGCACAAAGCTTGCCAGCATATTCTACAAGCAGGAGACAGTGCAACAAAGCCATTGTTTTAATTTTATCATCATGCAATTGAAGTCTTTGCCAATTAAAACAATTTGTACTAGACATTTTTTTTTCAGAAATATTAGACTTGTCGCGCTCTAATTTACGATGTGTTAAACACTGAAAAAACGTATTCTGACACAAGCTCTAGATCAAAAGATACTGTAAACAAAATTGTGTAGTAAAAAAAAAAAGGTGAATTTTGAGAAAACAGAGAAAAGGTTCTCAAAACATGCCTGCAAAAAGTCTGGACAGGAAGCTTTGAATCAATGTAACAGTATATAATTGTGCACTTCTTAAGTGTAGTACACGCAATACATGTTGGTGGCTTATAGATTAAAAAAAAAAAAAAACTAAAACAACTTTTTTTCGTGTGTTTCAAGATTAGAGTTTAGTAGTGGTTCTGCAGTGGCTGAATTTGTAGTCTACAGTGGACGCACCTGATGCCCTCTAGGACTGACAAAGGCTTGCCACTTTCTACTAGATAAACATACAATACAGTTTTACATAAGAATTTCTAGTTGCCTCCGTGTGGAACGAGACCCATAAAAGAGGCGCGACTTTTGTGTTGGCACAAACACTGGAACATATTTTTGTGCATGCAGTACACAGCCAGGAGCAGCTGCCCTGAGTTGGCAGGCCGAGAACAGCTGGTAGTGAATTCCGCGAGGACTCGCGAGGGTTGGTCAGCACTGACCAACCCTCGCGACTTTCCTGAAGTCTCTAAAGAGAACGAGCGGTAGACAGAATCTGGGCGGCCAAGGGTGTGGTTTGCGAGGGCTCGGAAGATAACGCTGAGCATGAAGGCTTGAGCTAAGCCTTTGTTATGTGACAACTACTAAGCAAGGTAAAATTTTTTTCTAAATCAATCAATCATTTATTTGATTTAATGCAGAATAATTTGATTTAAATCATTAGCGAAAACTTTGTGACTCTTTATCACTACGCGTATTTTTATTTTAAACATGGCAGATTGATTGATCAATCCATCTGATCACTGTGATGATGATGATGATTATGAGTTTATTGGCGCAGCAGCAACGAGGGCCATAATGCGCCAAACTTAACGTATTTAGAGCTTACTATAACAAAAGTTTACTTTGAGGCTACATATTTACAAATGGTATAAATATCCAGTTTG